ATTGAATGGTTTAAAATTCCATTCTGGGTGAGGTCAAACTGTAAGTCAGTCTTGGTTTGGTGATGTGGGGCTTAGCATATGCAACTCCATTTCGGGCCTGTTGTCTTGTCCTTACCAATGCAAAACTGCCTTCTTACATTCTTAATTTTTTACTGAGGACTTACTCTCTGCTGGACACTATGGAATACTCAAATGAATATCATTTGGCCTCCCTTCTCAAGAAGCTCTCAGTTTAATGACTCTGATAGTTTTCCTTAGTCTCCCAATAGCATTTTATAGAAGTGGTCATTTCTTCCTGAGATCCTGTCTTGGCTTTGGATGCAAGGAAGTATTCCAATTTCTTCATATGTCTGTCTTTCACTTTCTAGGATTTCAGCTTACTGGGGCTCATTGAGTTCTTATATAGGCTTTAGGTTGGCTCCTTTTGCTAAGAAGTGGTGTCCCATTAAAATTAGATTTTATTTAAACCTATAGTGATTTGAATATAATGAAGATTCATAAAAACAATGTAGATGCTTCCACCCCCACTTCTCTCTTTTATTCATCTGTGCTTTCTTCAAGGTTTGGGCTTTCAGAATCAACTTAAGGCTCCTTTCTGCTTTTTCTTCATTTCACATTTTAGTAGTTCTAGGACTGCAAACTGCTGAGGGTGTTCCAGAGTTGAGTACTAGATGAGGCATTCTTCTCTGGTAAATGCTTATGGTGAGTGGAATTCTATGCTCACTCAATGAGATATATACCTCAACATCCAAATCCCTTCTAGGGAACGCTCCTGCCAAAACTATTAGATGCCTATAGGTTCTGGTGGTGATGGATATGCATATGAAGAGTTTGGCTTAAAATATTTCAAGGAATTTGACAGTGAAAAAATAATAAAGTCTTAAATATGATAAATGTTTTTAAATGTATAAAGTAATATAAATAGATAATTGCTGCTTAACCTATACTACTTTATGCCATCAAAGAGGCCACAAATTTGGGGTGTTCTCTTTGTAAAAATAATTGATGGATTATGTAATATTTGGGGGTTTTCTATATTCAGGCTTATATGTGTTAGGGTTGCCAAAGGAGGAGTACACAAGGCTGAAAGTGGTAAAGAATTATAAATGTATTAGATCCTCTGAAAACCAGATGGGCTGACTCCCAAAATGGTTCCAGTGAGCCAGATTAGGAGGAGTGGGAGATATACTGTATTCTCCTATGGAGGTCAGAGTAACTGGTGGGCAGGAGTCTGGGTGTAGGCAGTCCACTGAAAACTGGGTGAGGTAGTTTAATGGAAACTGAAAGCAGTTTTCATATCTTGCAAAACCTGTAATGAGAATATAGTGGGGCCTTGACTTATGAGTGTCCCGACTAACGAGTTTTTCGAGATACGAGCCGTCTCTCGGCCGATTTTTTGCTTTGAGTTGCGAGCTAAAATTCGGGTTACCAGCCAGCTTCAGATACCCCACCGCTAGTTGGCGCAGCGAACATCACAGTGAAGGCCACAACATCAGCCCAGCATCACGTGTCTCACTTGTTCACTTTTGATTTGACATACGAGTAATTTGAGTTACGAGCTCAGTCACAGAATGAATTAAACTCGTAAGTCAAGGCCCCACTGTAATAGGAAAAACTCCGAGAGGGTGAGAGCCCCAGGCTGGGCATAATGGAGTGCAGGGAAAAGGTAGAGACTATGCCTAATAGTCCAGCCATTTGTTTTGTTATTTTCCCTGTAAGCTGAGGGTCTAACATTTTCTTCAAGGATTTTAAGCACTGAATACTTTCAGAGCAAAAGGGGTGTCGGGTCTCTTCTATAACTGCTTCCTGCTGAAAAGCAGTAAGGTTTTCCTTCAAAGCTAAAAATCCTTGCTCTCTTTCAGAGGGACGATGAGGCCTGGGCACAAAAGGAGGTTGTGATGGTGTCTAGGAGTGGTATTTTCTGAGTACAAGTAGGGCTTGTAACTTGGTGGAGACAGACTGCTTTATAAATTTTAGTATTATTAGGGAAAAAGCTAGAGCATCAAGAATTATGACAAATAAGTCTGGTGGAAGGAAAGAAACAGTCTGGAGGGTTGTGGTCTAATATACCCAAATTAGGTTTATTCTCTTAAGTTCATTTGTCCTTGTGTATGGTTGGCAAATGGCATAATTGGATTTCTGCTGTCTCTCTCCCTGAGTAGGTTGATTTAAGCTATTTACCCTCTGGCTGGGGAGGAATAGTGCAAACAATTTACTCTTAAGTGTCCTTGGTTTAGGGACCATAGGATTTACTAGATGGCTGCAGATTGCTTGGCATCTAGATTTGCTAGATGGCTGCAAATTGCTGTTTAACTAGCCCAGTTTCCCTATTCTGCTTGTCCTGGCTTGCTGGCCTGTGTCATTTATATAACTTCCTTTTAAAGTTTCTCCTTACAAACCTTCTATAACTTTCACAAACCTTTCTGCAACTGTCACCAACTTTTGATAACTGGAATGGTGAGCCGAGGTGTTTTACCGGGGTCGTGTCTCATGATGCCAAAGAATGAGCTTCGCAGACCAGAAGATATAAGCAAAAGTGTGGAAAATTTATTACAAGCAGATTCAGACTCCCCGCAAGGGGTGGAGGACCCAATAATGGTCTGCCCCTTAAAGTTTTGTAGTGCAGGGATATATAGTTGCTACAAGCCTGCTCTGTGTCTACCTGTGTCGTCACCTGATTGATTCCTTTAATTGTTCTTGCCCAGCAATTGTTCTTGCCCAACAATTCCTTTAATTGTTCTTGCCCTGAACTTTCCCTGTTTCTGTGTGTTCTTTCTCTGTCCCCATGCTGAACTTATTGTGTTTCTATGCGTTTGTACACCTTGTGACTGCAGGCCCTCCCTTGTTTTCCCATGCCTTCTGCTTTGTGTCCAGAAACAGTTTATTATTTCTGCTTGGTTGGTTTTTGTGATTAGGCTGCTCAAACTGCCGTGTCTGCCCCTGTCCATTTTCCACCTGCCTTTGTTTTCCACTGGACCCCTGCTCCCCTGCCCTGTCTACCTGCGTTTCAAGTTAATCCTCTCACCTTCTTACAGCTTTCAGAAATTGAGGGAAGTTAGCTTGAAATGCAGCCAAATAGGGCAGGGGTCCAGTGGGAAACAAAGGCAGGTGGAAAATGGACAGGAGCAGACATGGCAGTTTGAGCAAGCCTGATAACAGAAGCCAACCATGCCAAAACAAATAAAATGTTTTGGATACAGAGTGGGAGCATGGGAAACCAAGGGAGGGCCTGCAATAAACAAGGTGTACATACACATAGAAATAAAGTTCAGGTCCGTTGCTGGGCAAAAACAATGGGGGAATCAATCAGATGGTGACACAAATAGATATGGAGCAGGCTTGTTGCACATATATACTTCTAGAACGACTTGCTTTGTTGGCAACCCATTCTTTGGGCCCCTCCCCTTATGGGGAGTTGGAATTTGCTTGTAATAAATTTTCCACACTTTTGCTTAAATCTTCTGGTCCGTGAAGCTCATTCTTTGGCGTTGCAAGACACGACCCCAGGAAAAACACCTCGGCTCACCATTCTGGTTATCAAAATAACAGGCTTTAAAACTCACTTTATTTTTTCTTCAAAATTCATCTCTATACCCCATGCCTTCTATTACCAAAACCATACAAATTTTCCATTTAATTAGAATTTTTAGCTCTTAGAAACCTTAATTTTCTAATGGTAACCAAAAAGTAAACATTTTAAAATTTTATAATGTTACTTGTGACCTGGTGCATGAAATTCATGCACATTAAAAGGGAATTAAATGTAATAACTTAATTAAAAAATGTAAAAAAAAAGGGAATTAGAGGAAATATTTTAATATTGCTATTTGCCCTTTCTCTATAATAGAAGTGTCAGAGATGAAAGAAAATTAGTAAGATGTATATGAAAATCTTCCTCCTGTCAGAGTCTGGGGCATGCCATAGGAACCAGAGTCAAGTCCCCACCCACCCACGTGTGCCTCGAAATTGTGCGAGACCCAGAACCGGCTGGCCCCAACCCCATTGGACTAGATCCAGACCCAGCCGGCCCCACCCCTGTCAAGCCCTTCCAGGTGGGGGGCATGGCCTAAGGTCCCCTGGCCCGGGCTGGGGGGGTGCGCCTTGCCATCCCCTGGCCTGGTGCTGGGGCAGGGGGTACACCTTGAGGTTCCCCGTCAAGCCCTGCTGGGCGGGGGATGCAGCCTGAGGTCCCCCAGCCTGGTGCCAGGGCAGAGGGCATGGCCTGAGGTCCCCCAGCCTGGTGCCAGGGCAGGGGGCATGGCCTGAGGTCCCCCAGCCTGGCGCCAAGGCAAGGGATGTGGCCTGAGTTCCCCCGTCTAGCCCCACCAGGAAGGGGGTGCAGCCTCAGGTCCCCTGCCCTGGCCCAGTGCCATGCAGCTTCAGGTCCCTGCTGTTTGCTTGTTGAGGCTTGTTATGGGAACTCGGCCTCTGCTGTGGGCACAGCCATCTTGACTGTTACAGCATAATAGTCCATTTGCATATCCCCTCTTTATTAGATAAGATGTATTTTTCCATGACTACATCTACTATCTCATCATGATTTACAAGCAAAATCTGGAAAGCCTACAAAAATGTGTTTACCAGTAGTGGTTATCTAGGAATAATATAGAAAATACTTGCTGTTATTTTTGGTGAAGAAAGTCAACTTTGTATAGCTTATTTCAATGTAAATAAAATGTGGTTTTTATTTTTATTGGTTACTGCTTTGATAATAGGGGCTAAATCAGGACTTCCTATATCCCATTAACATATAAGGATTGACATGGATGATTAAAGGCACTTAGTAAGATCTTTCTCATTAATCAGCTCTGTAAAGGAAACATCATATACACATTTTATTAAGGGAAAAATTTTAAATTAATTAAATAATTGTTAAAAATTAAAATTTAATAAACAAATTATATGACATTGAAATCATTTAATCAAAGTTGAAATGCAAGTGATATACAAATCCTGAGTGTTATACTATAATAATTTGAATTTTTCTTTTTTAATTTTAGAGCTCGAGGAGCATATCTTTCTTATATACAGCCAGAATTTCTGTTTGAACCAGAAGATTACAAGAAATGGGTTGAAATGAGAGTAAGGGAATATAATTTCTTGGAACAACTGCTCAGATATTGAATTTACTGATTTTTGGTATTTGCTTGAAGGTTTCATTTCAGAATCCTTGATTTTTTATTTATGAAATATCCTAAGGATTATGCCTCTGTGGGGGACATATACTAGTATATATATATTTTTGTATTTGTCTAAAAACCTCTGTAGAGCCGAGGCAGAAATGATCACATGGTTTTCTTTTTCTTTTTTTTTCTTTTTAAAAATATATTTTATTAATTTTTTACAGAGAGGAAGGGAGAGGGATAGAGAGTTAGAAATATAGAAACATCGATCAGCTGCCTCCTGCAAACCCACTACTGGGGATGTGCTTGCAACCAAGGTACATGCCCTTGACCGGAATCGAACCTGGGACCCCTCAGTCTGCAGGCCAATGCTCTATCCACTGAGCCAAACCGGTTAGGGCAACACATGGTTTTCTTAAATCTATAAATAATTGCTTCTTTTAAGGGATTTAGAAATGAAGAATGGAGTGTGCTTATGTAAATTTTTTCTTAAAATGAATTTTTAGATTATATGTCTTCCAAACACAATACTGCTTTAACTTCTCCACCACTTGCCACTTCCTTTTTTCAATTTTACAGGAGGATATGGGGAATTTAAATAAGATATGCATAGTTTTTTTGAATTATTCAATTCATTTTATGGACCTCTATTCAGAAGGGGTATTGTTCTGAGATGTCTGCAGGCTTTGAGGCAACTCTAGTTGTGGTACTGTTACTATAGTCACCACATGACATTAGTAGTAGAGCCAGGGGCTTTTTCTTTGCCACTCTCCTGAGTCTCTGTGGCTTAATTTAAAGAATGTGGCTCCCAGGGGTTCTGAGTTCAGAATAACTTTGCATTTCATTCTGTTATTTTTGCCCCAGAACTAGTGAGTGCACTGAATGAATACTAGTAAATCTATGACCTCAATAAAGGGCTATGAGTTCCAGAAAGTTACCTGTGTTGATTGTTTCTATGACTGGCGCAAGGAGAATTAGAAAAGATCTTTTTTTAAAAAAATGTATTTTTATTGATTTCAGACAGGAAGGGAGAGGCAGAGAGAGAGATAGAAACATCAATGATGAGAGAGAATCATTGATCGGCTGCCTCCTGCACGCCCTCTACTGCAGATTGAGCCTGCAACCTGGGCATGTGCCCTTGACTAGAATTGAACCTGGGACCCTTTGGTCTGTAGGCCGATGCTCTATCCACTGAGCAAAACCAGCTAGGGCAAGAGATCTTGATTAATATATGAAGGGGACATGTAAAGGTTTTATTAAAAGACAATATATATATGCTAAGTAGTTACAATTTTGAACTTATATTTGCCTTGCATTTTAATTAATGTTGTGATTTTTTTTTTTATTAAAGACTAAAGCCTTGTCAGTATGTCCCTCTTTACCTAAGGAAAAGCCATCATGTTCCTCTTTACTTAAGGAAAAGCGATATGTTGTTATAGATATGACTGAGTTTGAAGCCTGGAGTCAACGAGCATGGACAGATGTCCTCCTTCAGATATACAAGGTATCATTTCTCTTCCTGTTCATTGCTAGAGTTTTTGGTTACTTTACATAGATAGTGTATTAGTGGTTTAAGCAAAGTGGTTTGCAGTCACAGGTTTAGGCAATATTGCTGTAAAAGATTTAATATCCTAGTGGCTCAAATAAGATAGAATTTTATTTGTCTCATGGAACTGTGGAGAAGTAAGTGGTCTAGAGGCAGTGGGGTGTCTCTTCTATCCTCAGTACTGGGCTTTCATCCTGGGTCGATTTCTTAGAATAAGGAAGAACAGATAAAGGAATAGAAGACAAGTAAATTCCTTTTAAGGATATTTTGTGGAAAATGCATCATTTCCCTTTCACATTCCATTGGGGTGAATTTAGTCATGTGACCGCATCTAGCTTTAAGGGAAGTTGAGAAGTATAGTCTCTAAATTTGGTAGCTATAGGCATTTTCCAATATTAAAATTAAGGATTAAAAAATGGATATTTGTGAAAATTATGGTCTCCACCTGTAATGCATAATATTCTCTTGTAAAGTTATTGTGGAGACATTGACTAGGAATCATATAACTGTAGGCAAGATCAGGTGTTGATGAGATTCTCCAATTAACTTCATGCTAAGGTGCATGTGTAGGTAAATTAATGTATAAATTGTGCCTTCACTACTGTATCTTTATTGCTTAAACAAGCACTGGTTTCAGTTCTGGAATAATTTCCTAGGGTCCCAAGGAAATATGGCACTATACATTTTGCTCACTAAAGCCAATGGAGGCTTCTGTTCTATCCTCATTCATGAATAGGGTGAGCTATAGGACAGGGAGTTAAAACAAAAAAGTTAAGTTAAATAAAAGCAGCAGTTAGTCACTCAAAGGAAAAGACAGAATTAAAAGCTAAATAGGATTATATGTCACAAATTGCTTTTTAAATGTCCTCTTGTTTAATCTTCACAACCAATAATCCCTAGTTTAGAGAAGAGGAGATTAGAGTTTATAGGCATACCTACTTCCTTCCAAGATCTGCTTTTCCAGTTCTCTGCTGCTCTCTGGCAATCTAAAACCTTCATGGCAGCCAGTGAGCCAGGCCTACCTTCTGGAAAGCTCCTTCTGTTACATATTCCCATTTACTCCTCTTCTCTTCTTTCCACGTCAACCTGCCCTGTCTTCCTTGCTGGATGTCAAGAGAAGAAATCCTATTTTTTCTTGATTAATTCTGAAAAGAATGTATTAGGATGTTTGTGACTCTCAGCCAAACTTATAATTGGGAAAGACATGTTCTTCTTTTATTAACTCTAGTCTGCATGATCTGTCATTTTGCCCAGTGATAGGAGCAACTCCAAAACAGAAGATCAGCACATGTTCTAATTTAGGGACAAACTAGTCCTAATCTTGCTTTGTGGATTTGATTCATACACTTATTATTTATTCATTTTTGCAGCATTCATAGATATGCTTAGTTCATTTAATCTGTCTTCCCTATCTATGAATCTATGAATTTAGAAACCAAATTTCACTTGTAAACTAAATAGTGTGTCACCTACATAGTGGATGCTCAGCAAATATTTGTTTAATGAATTTATTCAACCACTAATATGTTTCAGGCTCTATGAGGATAAGAGTTAACTTGATATATCCTATATCCTCAATAATTTTGTGTCTTGGAATATATTAGCAAGTAAGTATATATAATTACAAGGAAGCATGACAAATGCTATGACAAGGCAAGCCCAAATAACTAAGGATGAGTGCCCATGGAGAGGATCCTGACTTTCCTGGCTCGGGGAAAGTTTCCAGGAAGAAGATCAATTTAAACTGAGTCCTGAGAAATGTGCCCTAGCTGGTTGCACAGTGGTTAGAGCATCGGCCCGTGGACTGAAGGGTCTCAAGTTCAATTCCAGTGAAGGGCATGTACCTCGGTTGCAGGCTTGATTCCCAGCCTCCAGTGGGAGTCTATGCAGGAGGCAACCAATTGCTGTGTCTCTGTCTCTCCCCCTCCCTTCTACTCTCTCTCTCTAAAAAAAAGATATCAATGGAAAAATGTCCTCAGGTGAGGATTAACAATAAATAAATAAATAGGTAGGTAGGTAGATAAATAAATGAATGAATGAATGAATGAATAAATAAATAAATAAATAAAATAAACTGAGTCCTGAGAAATGATAGGTGTTTGCCAGGCAAGGTGGGGCATAGTTGAGAGAAAGAGAGTATTGTTTGTGTGAAGGAGGCAGTAGATGACTTTTATTGGAGGAAAGTGATGGGGGGCAGAAGATAGCATTTTTCAAGACAAAGAAAATTCAATGTGGAAATGCCTGAGGTCACATGGAACATGGTACATTTTGAGGAATAAACGCAGTATTAGGGGTGGGGGTGGGGAAAAGTGGACTGTGATCCCAGACAGCAATTGGGTGACTTCATAAGACAAACTAAGGGATCTGGACTTCATAGACCCTAGCATGAGATCAGTACAGAGGTATTGAAGGGTTGTAAACATAAGCTTGACATAATCAGGTTTGCATTTTACAGAAATCACTGTGGTACATTATAGAAACTGTTCAGGAATGCATTTTAATTTGTGGTTCTAGGAATGTTGGTGGTAGTAGGAAAGATGAGAAATGGACAGCATTCATAAATATTAGGAGAACTCAGACTTGGTGAATGACTTGATCTTTGGGGTGGCGGGGAGGGGGTGGGGGATGTGTAAAAGAGACAGAGAGGTCAAAGATAACAGTGGGTTTCTTGTTGGGTGACTGAGTAAAATTTGATCCCAGTCACTGAAATAGAAGATAAGGGTAATAGCATTTTTATTGGGGGCAGAGGGTGGAACTGAGTAAGAGAACATGATAAATTAATTTTAGTTTTGCTATATTACAGTGCCTGGTATGATTACCGGTGGGTGTATCCTTGAGTCAGGAAAGGGACCTGGGTGGCAACACACATTTGGAGTTCTTTCAATGCCATGATAAAGTCATAGGAGTGGATAAGATAGCCCAGTTAGATGATCTACAGAGCTGTGACTTAATGTATTGTGGCTAAAGCGTGTGTAGCTCTAGGTGCTCCATTAAATCAGAAGTGGATTGGCAATTTCACTTGAAAAAGCAAGCAATGTTGTTGAGATGAATTCACAAGTTAGAAATAAAAGATTGTGATTTTCACACAAATCCCTTTGGGTTCTTATTGTTGAATTCTCAGAGGTCACGCATGAAATGCAAGACCGCCTTTGTCAGTTCTTCTTGGCTAATTGTTTAGATAACAGAATATAGCTTGTCTTATTCAATTTAATTTTGTGTCATTAGGTTATTTTTGCTTGTTAAATTTGCATGGTTAATTGTTGCTCTTTCCTTGTATTATATTCCCAATTCACAAAAATGTTCACAAAAATGGCTAAAAAGTGGGTCATTGAAGCATGAGTGGTGAAAGACAATAACAGAAACACTCAAACTCAGAATGCTGTTCTAAGTGTAAATTATAAATAGGGATTTTATGTGGATATAAAGGATGAATCTGTATATACTGAAAGAAGTGAATGTGATGTTTTTACAGAAGAATCTGTAAAAGAAAAAGGTGATAAATATCTGAATAATTTTAATTAACTGTTTATTCTTTTGTTCCCAGTATTCTGTCTATCATAAAGTTTTTTTTTAGAATAGTAGCACAATTCTGTCAAATATTTTGAAATTTTTAAACAAAGAGCAGTGTTCTTTCTGGTTAATTAAACACATTTTTCCTGAACCACTTCAGTTCTCTCTATAATAAAATTGGGGTATTTGTTGCTAAACGTCAGCAAGAATTCAGTTCTAACTATGCATTATTCAGAATTGCGTGCCCATGTAGAAAACAAACAAAAATGGTACAAGGGGTCATATTTTCTGAGGAATATTTAAAAGCAATAAAGTATGATTGGAGTGAAGCAGAATTGGTGAAGCTCTTTAATTAAATGGCTTTGTGGTATGTCCCATAATGTCAGTGACATCGATGTGGAAACACAATTATTCTCACACATGACAACAAATATTGCATGTTTTGATTGGATATAACCATGGATAGGGAACATATGAATAACTCTTTGCATGTGTGTGATAAATATGAACAAAGTATATGATGACATTTTATTCTCTTTATTAGTGGTGGTCTATGTAGTTTCCTAATGCACCTTTAGTGGTTTATAGGGAATAAAATAGGGAGAAAAAAGCTATAGAGCGAAAAAATCACATAGGTCAGAAACCCAGTATTGAACAAACCAAATATTTAAATAGGAAAAGGAAGAGAATCCTGCAAATGAGCTTCAAATAGGCAAAAAGATCACAGTGACATTTTATATTATGAACACAGAGGAAAGAGAGCCTTTGAGGAACGAAATGGTTAACAGTATCAGGTGAAATTGAGGGGTTGCTTGAGATGGTAATGATGAGTCAGGGAAGGTCACTAGGTGGGCCTTGGTTTAATGAGCTAAAGGAATGAAAGAAAGTGATGGCCTGGAATGCAACTGGTGACCTCTTGGTTCCTGGATGGATGCCTAGTGAGCATGTTTTGATATTGCTGAAAAAGAATTGGTCAGGAGGGAGACGTTAAAGATCCAAACGGTAAAAAAGACAACTGATGCGGTACTATTCCTAAGATGAGAAAGCCTGGCATCTAGTATAAGAGAAGGGATAAGGGATTGCTCAGCCATTGCAGCTGGAGAGAAGGAAGAAAAGTGAGTGCAGATGCAAGAGCTTTTGGATATGTGGTAGGACACTGCAGTGTTCTCCTTAAGATATCATCACTTTGCTCTTTGAAGTTCTGAGAAAAACTATCATATAGGCTGAACAGGAGGGAGGGTTGATAAAGATGATTAAGAAGCCAGGAGTCACCTTAGCCAGTTTTGCTCAGTGGATAGTGCATCGGCCCATGGACTGAATGGTCATGGGTTCATTTCCTTGATTGCCGAGGTTGGGGCATGTGAGGGAGGCAACCAGTCCATTTGTCTCTCACATTGATGTTTCTCTCTCTGTGTCACTATCCCTCCCTTCTACTCTCTCTAAAAATCAATGGAGAAAACACTCTCAGGTGAGGATTAACAAAAGAAAAAAAGAAAAAAGAAGCCAGGAGCCATGAATAGTGGGAGTGAGAAGACAAGGAAAAACAGAATTCTGGGCCTGCAAACTTTATCTTTAAATTAGGAATAGGTACCTCTCACGTTTCCTGGAAACCCTGGCAATGATCCCCATGGGTGATATGTGCAGTGCTTGAGGACTATGATTAGATTTTTGTTGCTGCTGTTGTTTTAAACATTTTTATATTTTTCAATTTTTTTCAATTACAGCTTACATTCAGTATTATTTTGTATTAGTTTCAGGGGTGTCACATAGTTGTTAGACAGACATATACTTTACAAAGTGTTCTTGATATTTCTAGTACCGACCTGGCACCATACATAGTATTACAATATTATGGGCTGGCTTTAGCTCAGCGGTTCCTTCGCATACAGAGCTTTCTATTCACAATATTATTGACTATATTTCCTGTGCTGTTCTTTATATCCCCATGACTATTTTGTAACTACCAATCTATACTTCTCAATCCCTTAACCTTTTTTATCCAGTCTCCCAAACGCCCTCCCCTCTGACCGCCATCAGTCTGCTCTCTGTATCTATGAATCTCTTTTGTTTGTTCACTTATTTTATTCTTTAGATTCCACATATAAAAGATATCATAAGATATTTGTCTTTCTCTGAATGACTTATTTCATTTAGCTTAATACCCTCTAGATCAGTGGTCGGCAAACCGCAGCTCATGAGGCACATGCGGCTCTTTGGCCCCTTGAGTGTGGCTCTTCCACAAAATACCACGTGCAGGCGTGCACGTACAGTGCGATTGAAACTTCGTGGCCCATGCGCAGAAGTTGGTTTTCGGCCTGTGCAAGTCTGTTTTGAAGAAGTGATGTTAGAAGAAGTGGGGGGTGTCAGTCGGTCGGGCGACAGGAAACGCAGCTCTGGCGGGCCACAGGATACACAGCATGGGGGAGGTACATTGTTTTGAGGTACTGAGGTCGACCCCTTCTAACTCTCCCATCCACACTCAAGTATACAAGATGAGTGTGGATGGGAGAGTTGGAAGGGGTCAACCTCAGTGAACGTACCTCAATCAGATTGAGGATGTTTTTAGCAAAAGCCAGCTTAGGAGTACCCTAATTAAGTTAATAACAATGTACCTACCTCTATAGTTTAAGTTTAAAAAATGTGGCTCTCAAAAGAAATTTCAATTGTTGTACTGTTGATATTTGTCTCTGTTGACTAATGAGTTTGCCGACCACTGCTCTAGATACATAAATGCTGTTACAAATGGTAAGTGAAAAGTGAACATGGTGATATGCGGGCATGCTAAATAGCTATCTCAGACATTGATGAAAGAAAATTAAATTTATTTAAGGAAAGGGGTGGGGGGGATGAGCTATCCAAAGGGAAGGACTGCATAGCATCGAGCCAAGGAGACATTGGGTCAATGATGGCAGCCAAAGTATACTTGGGACAATGAAACAAGGAAGGGCATTGAAGAAGCAACAGGAGAGCCTAGGCTGGGCTGCTTTGGCTCACTGAAATGTCAGAAAAAAGGGGGCCTTGGAGACAGGTTCAGGGAGTTAGCCCAGGACGAGCTTCCACTGCCCATTGCTCCCCTGGTTGCAAGTCTCATGGGGTCCCTTAGAGGTTGGGGGATACGTGCCAGTGGGGTAATGGCATGGGTGTGCTCCTGGGAGGGCGAATACACACTGGGTCCTTTGTCCTGAGCATATTTATCTTTCTTGCAGGTGGAAATCTTAGGGGATGTCTTAGGGGAGTACTCCCAGGGGAGGGTCCAATAGAATATTCATCAGCTTTCCAGGTGTGGTCTTTCAGGGTCATGGTCTCCATTGATTGGTTAGTGCCAGGACAGGGGGTCATTAGTCAATGTAGCTGGTCCAGAGGCAGCTACATCACTTGTCTGGTTTTGCTGATTTTCTGGGCCTGGAGCTGGAATACAATTGAAGCCTTAAGGAGGTCAGGGGGTCTAAACCACATGACCAGTGATATGCTAGGGGCGGAATGGTTACCCTGGGGGCCAGGTTCTTGTATTCCCAGTTTTGCCCCTTGCTAGGCATCTGGGGCTTTATGCCCTAGTGAGTTTCTATGCCTGGCCCATCTTCCTTTCTCTGGGAGGTCTAACATTCTGGGGGGGCTGTCTAACAGTAAGATTTCATTCTTCTTTATGGCTGAGAAATATTTCATTGTATTTATGTACCACAGCTTTTTTATCTACTTGTCTGTGATGGGCATTCAGATTGATGTTATATCTTTTACTACCAGAAAACTCCCCTGTGGCTTAGTCTCTTCCTGGAGCTTTCTCTCCATCTCCTGTCTTAACTGAAGCTTGTATCTTCACCCCAAAATCAGTTTCCTTGTGGTTCTCTTTAACAGGGACTGTTGATCAATATGCATGAATGTTTCTTTTCAGTTTTGCTATCTTTTCTTATTTTTTTTCCTTTTTATAATTCTTACCCTATGGAATTAAATTAGATTCTCTTTACAACAAATTGGTGGCATTGATAATATTTAGACATAAATGACTGTAAGAAGTTTTGTTAGGGTGATAAACATTTATGGTATATTTGAACAATGTTTATTAGTTATATCCTTCCACTTAAACAATCTGATCAATGGAAATGTAAGCTTCTGAAAATTAAATTTAGTCTGAGCTTTGCTGATTACTACTTAAATTAATTATGCTTTCTATGCCAATTGGAAAAATAGATTAAAATAATTCATAACTTTAAAAATCTGACATTGAAAATGAATAAGCCAAATATAATAGCTATAAATCAGAAGTTTTGAAAATTAATGTGGAACTGGTAGTGCATATGATAATGATTGGATAACACTATATGTAGTTATATGCTGTGATATTATGATTTATGACAAATATATATTTGGTGTTCATTCTCATTTCTGACACAGATCTTTTTTTAAAAAAATATATTTTTATTGCTTTCAGAGAGGAAGGGAGAGGGAGAGATAGAAATGTCAATGATGAGAATCATTGATTGGCTGCCTCCTGCACGCCCCCTACTGGGCTTGAGCCCGCAACCCAGGCATGTGCCCCTGACCAGAATTGAACCCAGGACCCTTCAGTCCACAGGCCAAAGCTCTATCCACTGAACGAAACTGGCACAGAACTTCTTAAACCTTTTGGAATTTCTAAGTGATAAGACTGAAAAAGGTGTCTTTGTTATGCTAATTAGTTGGCTTTTTGAAAGCACCTTAGTATGGGGGCTGATTATCAGAGGAATCAACCATGTGATTAGAGGGTTAGAACTTTGTTTTATCCCCAGATCTGGAATTGCAGAGGTCTAATAGAACCCAATAAGAGGTCATCAAAACTTCTGATTTATAGCTAGTTGGTCAAAAGTATAGGTAACAAGCTGAACTTGAGACTGGTGTCTGAATTTAGTTGCCAAGGAGGGGGTCCTTGGAAACTCCAGTGGATAGTGGGGAGTTAGAAAGCATACTGACAACCTGGGCTTTTGATTTGCATCTGAAATAGTAGTCTTGTATGACTGAACCTTCAACCTGTGGAATCTGATACCATCTCTGGGTATATAGTGTCAGAATTGAGTTAAGTTGTTGGAGGTTCTGCTGGTGTTTGATAATTGGTTCTGTGGGGATGGGGATTCTATCCTCCACCTTCACACACACACTGGAAAGTTGGTGACCAGAATCCTTAGGTAATAAGCTGCTTCTTGTAAATTACATAGCATGGTACTTTACAGACTAGATGCTATAAAGGCAAAAAGTTGGGAATTTAAAATGGGCATTAGAGGTTATCTTAACTATTCTTTCACTCTTGAGTGAATGTAGCTAAGCAGAAAATACTGATGGACTTTATTTTTCTACCTGTCATTCTTTTACATACTCTTGGTTTTTATTTTGCCATTCAGGTCTAATATAAGTTTTTTCTCTCTCTTTTATTCAATTTTAGGTTCTGGTATTATCCCAGATTCTACCACATTCCCCAGATGATATGCCCTCCATACATACTAAGAAGTCACCAAAAGTCAATCCTTGTTTTATAGACAGCAACGTATATTCTGATTCTGAAAGACTTGTGCTTAGTTGGTTGAACACAAATTATGAGAATGCCCGACATATTGTATGGAGAAAGTGTCCAAAAGGTAAGAGTTTTTTTCCTTTAAATAAATCATTATAATTTGTAGTCTGACAGTGTAGAAAGAGCTGCAGAATTGGTCTCAAAATTCATGGATTTTATACTTGACTGCAGCATTTGTGCTCTGTTCTGCAAAAATAGTATTCCTTAACATCTTCAAGATCAGTTTCCTTTACATGTAAAATAGAAGTAATAAAAGATGCTTCTCCAATTTATTTTGAAGAATAATTGATAAAAATTATGTGTAGGTGCTCCAGATATGAAAGATAGCCTTAATGTAATTGATGAAATTTTCAACTCTATAGAGTATTAAATGTAGGTGACACTGCTCAAACGTTGTATATAATTAGTTGAGATCAAGTGAAAATTGACTAGACAACAACTTACATTTTGTTTTGACAGTCACATTGGGAATCACTAAGTGCAATAATGCTTCATGAATTTAGGAGGAGGGGTAGGTCATATTTATTACATATAGGGTGGGGCAAAAGTAAGTTTATAGTTGTGAGTACTCAAAACACAGAGTTTCTTCTTGTATTGCAGGTATTATTTTCTATATGAACAACTATAAATCTACTTTTGTTCCACTCCATATACTGAGAAAAGAGTTGTGTTTATAGACAGACCTGCTCCAGTGTTCAGGCAGGCTCTCCCATTAGGAGGAATGAAGCTCTATTAAGAGTATTAAACTCTTTGAAAAAGATTCAATTTGTTAGTATAACTGAATTTTTTATTTATTTAGCATAAGCATTGATTGATTGAGGAGGACATTATTCATGTTGGTTGTTTCTTTCGCTTCAATTCAGCTCCCCTTTTCCAAGCACATACAACCCTGCTATCTTGAGAATGGATTGTGTTTTAACATACAATAATTAAGCTTATATTAAGTTTATATTTTATACTGGACCCTTGGAGTTTAATCTAAACTTTAGAAGTAGGGAAAAGTTAAGAGTATGATTTAAAATGAGACTTTCAATTACAGTTGCTCTGAACTTAAAACCATTAGTGAAGCAAACATGTGACATCAAGTTTGAAAGAGATATATTGATATATTGTTATTAGAGAACAGTAAGTGTAGAATATTGTATTACCTTCTAATTGAGGTGCTGTTTACATCAAACAGTTTGACTTGAAACTATAATTTAATAAGATTTATATCTTATAAAATGTATTTGGCTCATTAAATCTATAAAAAACAGGATGCATCATCTACTGCTGGACACTTGGGCTGTTTCCTTGGCTATTGCAAATAATACTGCAATGAACATAGAGGTGCATATATGCTTTTGAATCAGTGTTTCGGGTTCCTAAGGACATATTCCCAGAAGGTCACTGGGTCAGGTCATAAGGCAGTGCCATTTTTAAATTTTTGAGGAGTCTTTGTACTGTTTTCCATTGTAGCTGTACCAATTTACAACCCTACAAACAGCATACGTATGAAGGGTTCCCTTTTCTCCACATCGTCACCAGCACTAATTATTTGTTGACTTTTTGATGATAACCATTGTGAGGTGTTATCACATTGTGGTTTTGATTTGCAGTTTCGTGATGATTAATGATGTTGAGTATCCTTTCATATGTCTGTTGGCCATTTGTATATCTTCTTTGGAGAAGTATGTATTCAGGTCCTTTGTACATTTTTAAATTGGATTGTTTGAGACTGACCGAACCTGGCTGGAGAACCTGGCTAGAGAACATGGTGAGAGAACCTGGTTAGAGAACCTGGCTAGGCTACTGATCAACTGAGTGCTGTCTTAGTGTCATTCCCTCTTTGCCGACTCCGTCCACACCTTTGGGAACCCCTGGACCTGCTGGGGCTGGACCCAGGCAGTATTTGTTTGAAAACATACATTGAATTATTTTGGGTATATGCTTACATGGAGTTGCTGGGTCCCATGGTAATTCTAAGGTTAATTTTTTGAGGAACAGCCATACTTTTCCACAGCACCGTACCATTTTATATTCCCACCAACAATGTGCTAGCATTCCGAGTTCTCTACATCTTCAGTGACACTTGTTAGTTTCCATTTAAAAAATTATACCTATCTCCCTCTCTTCCTTTTATAAATATATTAAATCTAAAGAAAAAAATAAAATAAATTGGATTGTTTGGTTTGTTTGATGTTGAGTTGTATGAGTTCCTTATATGTTTTGGATATTATTGTGTTATTGGATATATCATTTGTGAATATCTTCTCCCATTCAGTAGGTTGTTCTTTTCGTTTTGCTGATGGTTTCCTTTGCTGTGCAGAAACTTTTTAGTTTTTTGTAGTTCCATTTGTTTGTTTTCTCTTGGCCCGGAGACATATTGAAGAAGATATTGCTAAGACTGGTATCCAAGTGCTTACTGACCATTTTCATCTGGGAGTTTTATAGTTTCATGTGTTATATTTAAATTTTTTAATTCATTTGCAGTTTATCCTTGTTCATGATATAAAAAAGTAGTCCAGTTTGATTTTTTGAATGTATCTGTCCAGTTTTCCCAGCACTACTCATTGAAGAAACTGTCATTTCCCCACTGTTTATTCTTGCCTCCTTTGTCGATTATTAATTGACCACATAAACAAAGCTTTATTTCTGGATTCTATTCTGTTCCATTGATCTATGTGTCTGTTTTTGTGCCTGTATCACACTGTTTTGATTATTGTTGACTTAATCAGGCAGCATGATACCTCCACTTTTGTTCTTTCTTCTCTCAAGATTACCTTGGCTCTTTAGGGTCTTTTGTGGTTCTATATAAATTTTAGGGTTTTGTTCTAGTTCTGAGAAGAATGCCATTGGAATTTTGATAGAGAATGCATTGAATTGTATATTGCTTTGGGTAGTATGGACATTTTAACAATATTAGTCCTTCTAATCAATAACATGGTATATCTTTCCATTTATTTGTATCCTCTTCAATTTCTTTCTTCAGTGTCATCATTTTCAAACTACAGGTCTTTCACCTTCTTGGTTAAATTTATTCCTAGGTATTTTATTCTTTTTGATATAGTCATAAATGGGACTGTTTTCTTTATGATTCCTTTTCCCACTTCACTTTATTTGAGAAACTTTCCCAATAACCTCCCTAAAATAGCATATACTTCAGTCTTTCTCTTTCTTGTTCTTTTTTTCTCAATATCACTTTCCAAAAATAATATATATAGTCTGTCTTCCAGTAGAATGTGAGCTTCTGAACAGGAACAATGTTGTCTGTTTTATTGTTCACTGCTGTATTCTCAGTCTAGAACAGTGCCTCAAAAATAATAGATATCAAATATTGTCTGAGTGAATGAATGAATGAAGAGACATTCAGGTCTTATACATTTTTTATATCCTTTTCCAGATAATGGAACATGTATGTGTACCTTCTGGTACAAGTATGAGAGTTAGGTGGAGTGGTTGAGGTGGGAGGGAGGCACTTTTCATCTTCAGTATGTACCTGAGTACAGGTTTTCATGGTTAGTAACTGTGGAGATCCCTGAAGAGAAGCTCTGTGAAATATTTCACTTAGGTTTACTTGGACTGAGAAAAAGTCATACTCATTACCCCAGATTTTAACCTCTCAACATTGGCACTTGCTCTACTTACTGCCACTTCATTGGTAAGGTCTGACAATGCTTACAACTTGGTGCAGTGGTGTTGTGGCGGGTAGATGGATTGGATTGTACCCCAAACTGTTAAATTGAGAAACGCTGAGTGTGAGGCCTAATAATCTGTATTTTATTTGATTCTGATGCATACTAACATATGAAACAGACTATAGTATCACAAAAAAGGGCTTTCACTAGTGCTTTTAAGTTGTTCACAGAATTTATTTGTTTGCCAACTACATTTCCCCAAAAAATCCCCCCTTTAAACAATAATTCCTTTGAAAGGATAATGGCTGAGAATTTCCCCCAATTAATGTCAGACATCAAACGACAGATCCAGGAAGTTCAGAGAATACCAAGCAGGAAAAAATGTCAGAAAAACTTTATACCTAGGCATATTATATTCAACTACAGAAAATCTAAGATAAAGAAAAAAATATTTTAAAAAGAAGCCAAAGGAAGCAAAAAAACACCCACCTTACCTACAGAGGAGCAAAGATAACTATTATATCCAACTTCTCAGCAAACATGCAATGAGGAGCAGAGTGGAGTGAAATACATAAAGTGTTAAGAGGAAAAAAACACACAAACACCTAGAATTCTATACCCTGTGAAATTATCTTTCAATGGTGAATGAGACAGAGAACAGAGAGGGGGCCTTGCTTTCACATTTTCTGGATAAACTGATCAGTTGGCAGCCTGCAGTGTCATCCCTGTGGACAGCCTGTTTTGATTACCCTGATGGGGCAACAAATAAGAATTTTTTAGTTGTTTATGGATTTCCGAGAAACTTTTGAGAGTTTAGCAGTGGAGTCAGCAAGATGGGTTGTTTACGTATTACATATCTGCTGAGGCTTTGTATCAGCACCTCCACCTCAGTTAGGACAGGTCTGATACATTTCTCTCATTAGAATGTCTTTTCAATGATGGAACTATGAAGGATGTGACAAATGAGGGAGCCTTGCTCTTGATAGAGGAAAGGATGTTGCAGAGTATCAAGTAGTAAAGCTGTTAGCAGTTGGCTTAGAGGTCCAGCCACAGGGGACTTTGAATTAGTGTTTTAGAACTTTATTCTGTTGCCCTTGGAGAGTCAGAAGAGATGGCTGAGCTGGTGACTGCTATGATAAAATGGGCATTTGGTCTGTCAGCATCAAGTGCATGGATTGAAGTGCAGAGAGGTCACATGTTTTTAATCAGCACACTTGAATTTAGCCCTCAGAGCAGACTGAGGTATCTTAACGCTGGACTTCCTATGCATTAGCCCAAGCATACGTATGTGGTGCCAGGCAGTCACAGTTTGATAAAGTTACAATTCCTAAATATAGGTGGTTGCTGGGAGCCACGGGTAATAAACAACAACAGCAACACTCATTCTTTGTTTGAAACAAAACAAAACAAAACAAAACACATAACAGGTGGGGATTTATTTGTAAATGTGGAAGTCAAAAAGGAATTTTCTTATGATAAGTGGACAGCTGTCCCATGTAAATAAGGGACCTTTTTAGTGCTTGCCAGGCGGTCCATTTGCTTTTACACATTCATCCTTCTGTTCCCAGTAGCTCTTTTATTATATGTATGTTCTTTTATCATTAACACTATAGTTAATATTTTTTCACTGATGAACCATTTTACCTCTTAGTGACAGTATCTTCTTCAGTAGATCATGCCTGTGATAAAGTACCAGTTATGTCATTCCTCTGCACCCTTTGCTTCAAAGGCTACATTTTCCTTGCTAATGGAAATTTTATCATCCTGTAATCACCTGGTAATTTTGAGAGCAGCAGCAGACCATTTTGTAATGTAAATGTAATTCCTGACAAGACTAAGTACTTTCATTTGAGTACACTTTTAAAAAAATCTTCAAATGGGAACATTTTGAACTGCCTGTTCAGAAGAGCTCTGTTCTACAAATAATGTCTTTTTAGCTTATGCTTATTTCAACATTTTTTTTCATGAAGTAACAATTGTAGTTCTTATGAATGAAAAATAAATACTGTTTTTTATTCAATTTCCTTTAATGGAGTGGAGTTAGAAGTATGTTTGGAAAATTTATCTTTTATATTAGGTAGTATTTAAAGGTGCCCCTGATTTAATTTACTATGTAAGAGTTTGTTCATGTAAACACTATTGAGTATACATTTGGGAGATTGTATTGGCCTGTTAATTTGGTATCTATTCTTAAAACTAATGTGGTGTTGAGGTCTTACATTTGCATGCATTGCTTGCTTCAAATGTGTCTAATTTTCAAATTTATTAAAGCACATAATAGTCATTATTTACAAAGCGCATTATATTTTCTCCAGAAGTTCCAAATTAGCCTTTTAATGGTTAGCATTAAATATTTACCATCAGTGTTGCAAGACTGAAATGTAAACAATAATGGCATAATCTGACATATTAATGTTACATCAAAGTTTTACTTTGGGAAGGTGACTGTCAGTCAATATGTAGAAGTCATGAATAGTGTAAAGCTCAGAACTAAATTGTGAGAAATGCCAAGCAGTCAAACAAATGTGATAACTGAAAGGTAAACCATTTCCAATGGATTAGCAGTGTGGTTTAATAAATCAGGGTGAACCAAGGCAGTAGCCATGCGTGATGGAAAATAGAGAATGTAAAAATTCCCCCCAAGCCAGACCACATTTTTTTCTTTCTTTTATATTCATACCTACTCAGTGGCAATGCCTTCCAGTCACAGATCACTGGGAACACATCTGTAGTTCACCAGATTCCTTTTAGTGCTCATTACCAAAAGGGAGACCACACATTATGGTCAATGCACATTGACTGTCTATGGCAGCCGTGGGCAAACTACAACCCACGGGCCAGATCCGGCCCGTTTGAAATGAATAAAACTAAAAAAAAAAAAAAAGACCGTACCCTTTTATGTAATGATGTTTACTTTGAATTTATATTAGTTCACACAAACACTCCATCCATGCTTTTGTTCCAGCCCTCCGGTCCAGTTTAAGAACCCATTGTGGCCCTCGAGTCAAAAAGTTTGCCCACCCCTGGTCTATGGGCTATCTCACAGTGATCGTTATTATGAAAGATACTAGAGGCCCAGTGCATGAATTTGTGCACGGGTGGGGTCCCTCAGGTGGACCTACGGAGATTGGGCCCCAGCTTGTGCCCCTAGCCTTGCATCCCTGCAGCCCCTCCTGACACCTCGCCTTGGCCTGGCACTGCCCCCTCACCTGCTCCACCATCCTGCCTGCAGGGTGATTGGTTGGGGCTGCCCCTCCCCCCTTACCCCCCACTCCCTCAGCACCTGGGAGCTGATGGTGGACCCACCCCCTGACACCACCACTGGTTGCCATCTGTGGAGCGATTGGTGGGGCAGTTGGGCCCCCACTTGTACCTGCCTTGACCTGGCACTACACGCTCACCTGCTCCATCATCCCACCATGGTCAGGGCCCATCGGGGTCGGCAGTGCCTCCACTGTCACCTGCTGTCAGCACCGTGTCACCGACACCCACCATGTTCTGCGCCGCCCCCTGGCAGTCAGCGCAAGTCATAGCGAGCTGTCAAGCTCTTGGTCAAATGACCGCCTGAGGGGACAATTTGCATATTAGGCTTTTATTATATAGGATTATGAGACAGTACAGGCACTTGGGCCTGGAAATGGAAAAATATAGGGTGGCTTGGGAGCCGGGTTAAGACCAGATGGCAAGAATTTCACCATACGTCCATTCCCTGCTTAAAAAAAGAAAAAAAAAAATGCAGAATTTAATCTACCTTATAACTGCTTGCTTTTCCTATCCTGACATGAAAATTTCCACAAGCCATTTTCAAAAAGCCTGTCTTTTCAAGCAAGCCTGTCTAGTCCTAACTTATCAAAGCAGCCAAGCAGAACCAGCCCCTGAACCAATTTAGAGGGCCTCCTTTCCTCTGTCCTGCCTCCCTTATGCTCAGGTATAAACTTAATAAAATCTTTCTGGAAACTTCTTTGGGGTTTCCTCTCATTTCTGTTTTGGGGAACTCAAGAATCCCAATGCTGGTAACAGTTATATGAATTGTGCATTGACTATGTAAATTTGGGAAAGGTTTAAGGAAATATATTCACCTTGATTGCATGCTCTTAGGGACAGTGGTAATCCTAGGAGTGAGTAATTTAGTAAATCTTGTCTGGAGGAAAGAGGACTATAGTGAGGCTAATTATTTAATTGGTAAATAAGTAGTAGTCACTCATATTAGACAGAAGAGGGAGATGTTTGGTATTTTGTGTTTTACACAATGAGCTTGTATTTGTCTATGCTTAGATTAGATTATGAAATGTTCTTGTTTTGTCTCATTTCATCACAGTGGCAGAGTGACCTTGTATGATACTGGTGTTCTGTGAGACTGTTTATGTCCAATAAGAGAATAACATGACCTAGCTGTTATGTGCCCCTACCAGTAGGAAAGCTTAGCTAATAATACCCGGCAAGCTCACAGGACAAACTGTCACCATTTCTAATGATCCAAGAAGTCTCAGTGCTTATGATAGCACTGTAAACAGGAAATTAAGGAATGAGGCAGGCAGCCAACCATCATATTATATAATGCCTAGAGTTATTCTATAGAGAATTCATTTTGGAAAGTTCTTATCTTTTTAATGTATTATCTAAAATTGCATATAATTTGGGATGTAGCATTATAGTGACCTTCAGGCTGTCTCAGACATTTAGCATCCTATATGAATTTTTCTAATATTTTGCTTTCTTTCAAAATGCTTTAAAAAGATTCACAAATATTATCCAGTTTTTTGAAAGGAGGGAAACTCAAGATATTTCCAAATAACTAGTAAGAAACTTTCAGCTTTGTGAAAGAAAAGCATGTCTAGAATATGACTAAATGAAGAATAGATTCAGTTATCTCTTCAATATAGTAGACCACAATTCTAATTGGACATTGACTAAAATGATGATTAATAATAATAATAGCCAACATATGTGGTATGCCAATTAAAGGACTAAGAATTTTACATATATTTGTTTATTTAATCCTCAAAACAAACAGCATGATCAGATAACTGTTATTGTTATTAACAGAAAACCTAACGCTGAGAGGTTCATTTATTTTCCTAGGAAAGGCTATGGCTGGCATTTGAATTCAAGCAGTTTCACTCTAGGGCTAATGTTATGTATCATTATGTGATGTTTCTTCAAAACATTAATTCTTCTTTAAGTTAGATCTGTGTAATTCTTGTGAATTCTTTTCTGATATCCAGAGAGATGTCATATTTATTTTCTTGTTCACCACAGCGGTTTTCCAAATCTGGATGCCCACTGCAATCACATGGAAAATGAAAAGACAAAACAAAAAAAAAAACTTACACTCCACTCCAGACCAATTGAAAGTCAGTTCCTGGCCCTAGCTGGTTTGCCTCAGTGGTTAGAGCATCGGCCTGCGGACCCAATGGTCCCAGGGTCGATTCCAGTCAAGGGCATGTACCTTAGTTGTAGGCTCCTCCCTGGCCTGAGCCCTGGTTGGGGTGCATGCAGGAGGCAACCAATCAATGCGTCTCTCTCACATTGATGTTTCTCTCTCTCTGTCTCCCCCCTACCTTCCACTATCTCTAAAAATCAATGGAAAAATATCCTCAGGTGAGAATTAACAAAAAAAATAAAAATAAAAAATAAAAAATAAATAATAATTAAAAAAACAAAACAATCCCTGGGATGTTGCCTGTATACATGCAACTTTTAAAGGCTCTTTAGATGGTTCTGATGCACAGTGTGAAGGTTAAAAACTCTAATGTATGCAAATATAGAAATAGAGAATAATATTACATAGTGCAGAGATACCATATCCTAATATATAAAAACCCTGGTTCCATCACATCCACAATGAACGGAGACTCGACCTAATGACCAGGCTGCACACGCAGTAGGCTCTGGTGGGTGGGGACTTGTGGCAGCGGAGACAGGTATGGGGGAGGCGGGGCTGGCACTCACACTCACTCAAAACCACACACATGCAGAGACACACACAGCGCCCACCAGCTCACAGCCTTTTCTCCCCTTCTTTCCCTCCCTCCCAGCTCAGAGCCTTTCTCAGAATGAGGAAACAAAACAGACTGGGCCTGAAGAGGCCTGGATGGAAGGGAGGGTGGGCAGAGGGTGGAGCAGTCCCTACTGGCTCTGCCCCCTCTCAGCCTGGAAAGAGGATGAGGGAGACAGAGAGGCAGGGGGGCCTGGAGGACTGCTGAGAAAAACAAAGAGAGATAGAGACTGGTGAGATCAGGCCGGCAGGGGAGAGCAGTTAGGGGCAATCAGGCAGGCAGGTAGGTGAGTGGTTGGGAGCCAGCAGTACCAGATTGTGAGAGGGATGTCTGACTGCCAGTTTGATTGGGCCCAAACTGGCAGTCAGACATCCCCCATGGGAAACCCGGTTGGAGAGGGTGCAGGCTGGGCTGAGGAGATTCCCCTCCCGCCCCTGTGCATGAATTTCTTGCACCAGGCCACTAGTAAGATAATATTTGTCCACCACAAGAAATACTGTTTCCTAAAACATGTCTCAAATTTAAAAGAAGAAATATATGACTAATATTATAAGTTCTGGGGTTTTCATGGTTTTGCTTTGTTGCAACCTATTTTGATTTTGCATAGCAGAAGCCATACCAACAGTAAATTCTCAGTGTTTTAAAGCTCCCCTAGGAAGCTGAGGCTGTAGGTCAACAAAGTGACCCAAAGTCCAACAAGGAATAGGTGCTTACAGGAAGAAATGGGATATTATCAATTGTCTCCTTGTGGTAGAGACAACTAGACACTGATGAGAAGAGTTGAGTTAAGGTGTTTAGTGAATTGGTAGAGGTCAACTATACACTAGTGAGAGAGCATGAAGTCGCTAGGGGTCACACCTTAGGGCTATGGTGAAAACACATTGCAGCTGCATAAAGAAACACACACACCATGTCTAACCCTGGGAAAGGGGCTGGGATTTGACATGACAGTTAAGTAGAAAATCCTCAACTTTCTATAAAAAGTTCCTAGAACTAGTGTATGAGTAGTATATGAGTTTATCAAGGATGGAGGATATATGAGCAGTATACAAAAGTAAATTATATTTCTATATAATGGCAATAAACAATTGAAATTAGAAATTATATGCATATAATTTGCCATAGAATAAAATGCTTAAGTATAAACCTAGCAAAACATGTGGAGGATATACATGTTGAACATTACAAAGTGCTGATGAAAGAAATCAGCGTCTTGTAAAGAACTAAGTAAACAGAGAAATATATCAATTATGCACATGGACTTGAAGACTATTGTTAAGATATGAAAATGGTGTAACTCCAACGAAAATCCCACCACAGTTTTTATGTTGACTCTAAAATGCAGATGGGAATGTTTGGGGGTGGGTGATAAAACTTTTCTGTTTGGATTGTGGTGGTAAATACATGACAATGTATATGTTAGAATCCTAGAGGCTACACCCTAAAGAGTGAATGAATATTAGTATATCTATTTTTTAACCAACCAAGACATGGAAGTAATCCAGGATGGAATGTAGACTGTGACAAATAACAAATGTAACAGCATTACATATGTTTGACACCGTCACTCAATGTAATGGAGAAGAAAGGAGCTTGACTTAGTTATCTTTTGAAAACAATATTACTGCATACTGTAGAACTAAAGACAAAAACACTATACATACACATTACTTTCTTGCAGGGGTATGGGTTTGCAATTCTGATAGTACTGTATATGTATACTAGTGTTGAATAAATAAATTTATTGTAGATTATGAGAGCCAGATTTTTAATTGTTGAAGAAAGAAGTTAGAAATAAGGAAATGGGGGACATCATAATGGATCACTGGGTTGAAGTTGTGGAATTGATAGTAACAGTATAACACTTAGTTTTTTATATATATTTTTATCTATTCATTAGTTTCTAGTTAGGAGATTTTTCGTTAGTTGTTTCTCTTTATGGGTGTGATCTTTCCTCCACAAGATGTTAAGCTCCTTCAGGGGAATTTCTACCCCTTCTCTAATGTTGGTACAAGATGCGGATGGGATATTTAGAGTACACGGTCTATATCCCCTGCTAACTGACTGATTCACCATCAACTTAAAAAGCTAGTAAATTGCCCCTTTCAGATTAAAGTTAGAATTGCTCCTAGTTCGTCGAAAAATGAATATTGGCCACAAAAGTGAGACCCTTTGCTTTTATTGGAAGACATGAGGAGCACATTAAGAGAAGCACAGTTAGGTTATAATTATACAACCAACTAGAAATGTAAATTTTAAAATCATTACTTTGATGTATCTCATCTTATATCAAATATAGTTATTTAGAGATTTTATCCGGAAAAATACTTTGAAAAATACAGTGCAGAGTGTTGTTTGCTATGTATTAATCAAAAATTCCTAATGATCTTTGTTCACTAGGTTGATTTTGAAATAGTATTCTATAGAAATCCTATAGAAACATTCAATGTTGTAGCATCTCAGGTGAAAAAGTACTCAGCACTCTTTCTGTGAAGTATCCAGGACATCTGTGGTTTCAGAGAAATGAAATTTTCCAGTTCAGATGTAAAGTAGTCCTGGTTTGTGGAATTAGAATGCATGTCATGAATATCTTGTCATGGTTTGTTCTTCACAGAAAATGGAAATTAAGAGATTTGAGGGAATTTATGAAGGTCACCAGTTTTTCTTCTTATTTTCATACAAGGAATCATCTCAAACCAGTAATAACCAGGGCTCTTCTAGAAGCATTTTATTTTTATTTTTTAAATTAAATCTTTATTGTTCAGATTATTATAGTTGTTCCTCTTTTTTCCCCCCATAGCTCCCCTCCACCCGGTTCCCACCCCACCCTCTGCCCTTAACCGCCCCCCCCCACCACTGTCCTCATCCATAGGTGTACGATTTTTGTCCAGTCTCTTCCTGCACTTTACTTCCACACCGCACCTCCTCTGAGTCTCAGTGTGCTTTTCTCTTTCCTTCTAGTTGTAGAATTTCCACTCAGCCAGCCTTCCTGTGGTTCTGGATGATGTACGTTTTGTCTTTTAATTGTACTTTTGAAGTGGTTGTGCAAGGCAGCAATTTCTGGTGTTTACCTATGCCGCCATCTTGGTTTCTCCTCTAGAAGCATTTTAAAAAAGGAAATGTCGTATCCAACATAGCAATGATTTCCAATGTTTGAATCACCCCCTCTCTCCCTAATATAGGACAACCTTTCAGATATTTACTAAATATCCAGGTACTTTGTCTTTTGTTCTAGTCTCAACTTCGAAGTCCTTTTATTACTCCTCCTTCTTGTGTTATCTTTTATAGTTCAACTAGAGGCCTGGGGGTTGTGTCCCTCAGCCTGGCCTGCACCCTCTCCCATCTGGGACTGCTGGCTCCTAACTGCTTGCCTGCCTACCTGCCTGATTGCCCCTAACCGCTTCTGCCTCCCAGCCTGATAGCCCCCTAACTGCTCCCCTGCCGGCCTGATCACCTCCAACTGCCCTGCCCGGCCGGCCTGATTGCCCCCAACTGCCCTCTTCTGCTGGCCTGATCGCCCACTACTCCCCTTCCTTGCTGTGACCCACCTCTACTCTGGGGCCCGCCTCTGCTGTGCACGTGGCCATCTTGTGACGGCCATCTTATGATGACGTTAGGGCAACAACCACCTAGGCCAGCGGTTCTCAACCTTTGGGTTGCGACCCCTTTAGGGGTCGAACGACCCTTTCACAGGGGTCACCTAAGACCATCGGAAAACCACATATATAATTACATATTGTTTTTATGATTAATCACTATGCTTTAATTATGTTCAATTTGTAACAATAAAATTGGGGGTCACCACAACATGAGGAACTGTATTAAAGGGTCGCAGCATTAGGAAGGTTGAGAACCACTGACCTAGGCTATTATTAGTACAGTGGGGCCTTGACTTACGAGTTTAATTCGTTCCGTGACGGAGCTCATAACTCAAATTACTCATATGTCAAATCAATTTTCATCATTACAATGAATTGAAATGCCATTAATCAGTGTGGTGTTCACAGTGACGTTCGCTGCGCCAACTAGCGGTGGGGTATCTGAAGCTGGCTCGCAACCCGAATTTTAGCTCGCAACTCAAAGCAAAAAATCGGCCAAGAGATGGCTCGTATCTCGAAAAACTCGTTAGTCAAGGCCCCACTGTATAGATTTTGGTTTCTTTAAACCATCAGTTTCCAACTCCTTCCACATACCCTACATGTGGAGGAATTTCTGCAACAAATAGGAAAGCTGGCACTAAAATTTAGAGTTACAAGTAACCTCAGATCTTCTGAGCCTCTTTATCCATGTTGATGATCACGATCAAACATTTGAATTCCAAGTTACTGTACAGAATGAGTAATTTTAAAATCCTGGATTTTTCTTCTATTACTATATGGTAGTGTATTCTTCAAAGCGATTCAAACATAAAGGAGACAGCTTTTGCAATTGCTTATAAAATCCCATAGCTATATTTCCTGATATTAAGTGAAGTGTAAATTTTGTTTTTATTTCCAAAATAATACGATTTTTTTTTCCAAGCAAAGGCAAATATCTCTCTGACTACTGCTCAAATTTCCATAAGATATCTTTTTAGAGAAGTAAAACTATTGTTATATTTACTCTTTTTTTTTTGGAATAGGTATTCCCTCTGAGAGATGGATACTAAATTTTGACAAACACCTTTCAGATGGCCTTGTTTTTGCCACAGTGTTGGGAGCCTATTGTCCATTTCTGGTAAGAGTTATTTTTATGCAGAATGGTCTTCTATTAGTTGAGAGAACTTAATACTTTACATTCCAATTATTTTCTGCAAACTGATTCTTTTAAATGTTTTTATTTTATTTAACACCTAAACCTGCATGGCCAGCATTACCTTTTTGTTTATTCTTATATTGCAGTAGTATACTACAGACAAATGTTCATATTTAAATGGTTCTTTGTTGAATTACAGAGAATAGTTAAAAAGCAATAATTTTATTCCATAACTGAAAGGTTTTATTGTTGTCTCTTCCAGGTTGAGCCTTATTTTATAAATATGTACACACAACCAAAAGGTCCTGAACAGTATTTTCACAATTGTGCTATTGTTGTGGATAGTCTTCGTGAAATTGGCTTTAGCGTTGGCATACAGGTGAGTACCTTTATATCATACATTCTATAAGTATTTTATGAGGGTCTTCTTTCCTTATTTATTTCCAAGCTTTGTTAGGTATGATTGGCAAATAAAATTATATATATTTAGTTTGTATGATGTGATTTTTCTAGGTGTGCAACATCATGGTGTTTTATATATAGAGAGAAATGATTACCACAATCAAGTTAATTAAAACATTCATCACTCTCATAGTTACCATTTTTGTGTGTGCATGGTGAGAACACTTAAGATAACTTTCTTAGCAGATTTTAAGTATGCAATTCACTTTTAACAACCATAACAACCATGCTTTATATTACATTCCCAGAACTTATTCATATTATAACTGAAAGTTTATACCCTCTGACAAACATATCTCCATTTCCCCCATCCCCACCCCCCAGCAAACACTCATTCTACTCTCTGCTTCTATGAGATGGAGTTTTCAGATTCCACGTATAATTGAAATCAAACAATACTTGCCTTTCTGTGTCTGGCTTATTTCACTTAGCATAATGTCCTCCAAGTTCATCCATGTTGTCACAAATGGCAGGAATTTGCTTTTAATGACTACATAATATTTCATTGTAAGTATGTACCACATTTTTTATCTATTCATCTTTCCATAGACACTTATCTCTTTCCATATCTTGACTATTAGGAATCTGCAGTTGAATATGGGGGTACTGGTTTCTTTATGATACCAATCTCATTTCCTTTGGATATATACCCAGAAGTGGAATTGTTGGGCCATATGGTAGTTCTGTTTTTAATTTTTTTAGGAACCTCCATACAGTTTTCCATAGTGGTTGCACCATTCCTTCCAACAGTACATAAGGAAGGGTTTCCTTTTCTCCGCATCCTTTCCAACACTTATTATTTCTTATATTTTTGATAGTAGCCATAATGTCAGATGTGAGGTGATAACTATCTCATTGTGGTTTTGGCTTACATTTCCCTCAAGATTGGTGAGTTGAGTACCTTTTTATATACCTGTTGGACATTAGTATATCTTCTTTGGAAAAATGTTAGTTGACTCCTATCTAATGTTCCTTTCTTTACAAATTTTAAATCTAAATTGAAACAGTCTTTTCATGGGATATTGTTAAAATGTGAAAATTGAAATATGACTTTATAGAATTCTACTGGATATTTTAAAATATGTGTAATTATGTACACCCAAGTATACATGAAAAGAAAGTTTTAGTGATAGGTCCAGTTTTCTTAAACTACAAGAATGAATGTTTTATTAACCTTACTGAGCTCTAAGAATGAATTCAAAAAGCAGAGTTGTTTGAATATAGATATTGTATTATCATCTTCTAATTTAGTAACAAAAAATAAAAATATTTCATTTTGGTTTTAAAATAAGTATTCATGTAGAGATCATAATGGCAGCATACATTTTAATTACATTTGGACCTCCAAGTTATAATTCCATCTAGCTTTTCACATTGAGTCCTCAATAGTAATAATCCAAAATATATTGTATGCTTAACATTTTGGGGCACTATGTTACTTTAGAATAATGAAATAGTATAAATTATTCCCGACTTGAAGAATATACAAATTTATTGAATTATCAAGATATATACATGTTAAAGGATAAATAATATTCTATTCATTAACTGTCAATGTGTGTAAAAATTAAAGTGTAGAGTTCAGATAAGGGAAGAGATCAATGTGTTCTAGACCCTGTGGAGGGGGCAGGAGTTATTTGGGTTCTTGAAGGATGGATTGGATTTTGATTGGAAATGATAAGAAGGTGTTTACTCACAGGATATGGCCTAAACAAAATATAGAATGAACGAGATTAAACTGAGTAAATTTAAAGATCTGTTTATCTTTATTCATGAATCAGGCAACATCCCATTTAGCAACTAAAGAGGAGCTCCATGGAGCTGTATAAAATGGAGGGTTTTATAGGCAGTAAGGAGGAGGTAGAACAAGGAAGTGACTGGGAAAGAGTGGATTGTTTGAGGCAAGATCACCTTTCTTTGGGGGGCAGTAGTGAGGTCTACCAGGTAGATGTCCTCACTAGTGCTGACCAGGAAATTCCAGACTGACTGGTTAGGATTATATTTTTGGTAGAGGCTGAAACTGCAATTAGGTTACTATTAAGTCTCAGTTTGGTGACATGGACTTAGCACAACTAATTCTATTTTGGGCCTATTGTCCCTCTTTCCCTTCCTCACCTCTTCCCTCTCCTTCTTCCTCTCTCCTCCTCTCTCTAACAAATGTGAACAAGTCACATATATGACTAGGTTTCCTGGGTTGAAATTTGGGGTTAGAAATAGACATGGGCTATATTGGGATCTTGAATCAGCATACAAGTCAGCAGTTTACTTCGTGGGTATTATGGGAATGGGAATAAATGCATTTACTCTTATAATAATGTTGAAGATGGACTGAGAGGAGATGGACCGGAGACAGAGAACACAGAGCAATGAAAATCCAATTTCAATTGGTCAAGGACAAAAGTATTTTCTTTCTAGCAGGTGTAAGGAACCACTTTATATCAACCCACATTCGGGTACTAAATGTGCGTTTGATATAAAGTAGTTAAAGTCACTTTTTCCCACGTGTGACGTTTATATTCTTTTATGTTGGTAGAGTTGTAAAGCTAAAGTGTAATCAAGATTTTGGTCAGAGTTTTTGTATAAGAGAGTTTAAAGACGAATGCTAATAAAAGATTTTGGTTTGGAAGAATAAAAATATAATTCCCATCAATTGAACAAATTATTGAATCTCCTTAATGAAAGTCACTGGATAGACCCTGCAAGGGGTACAGATATGGTTAAACTGCACTTATGCCTTCAAAGATATTAACCTACTAAGAGTGACAAATACATGAACAAGAGCTGATGCAGAGCAGACAGTGAATGCCATAGTAGACAGAAACAATATGCTATGGGAGTCAAAGGGGAGAGAAGTCATTATAATAAGGAAACCAGGAAAAGTTGCATGGGACATTGGTGTTTGACATAGTCCTTGAGAATTTACTGGAGGTTCATAAGAATCTTAAAATATGTTTATTTAGAAAATATAATTCATCATGTTATGATTCTCTCCTTTCCTTTTTGATTTCCTCAGATATGTTGACTCAAAATATTTATTTTAATTATATAGGTAAAGACATTAAAAAATATCTATCTGCTTATAAACGTAATGACGTCCAAAATCTGATGACTAGAGAAATTGACAATTAACTTAGTAGATAATTACCAGGCTCTTTCCAGCCAGTTCTAATTCACTAACTTTTATTTTATTTTAAATATATATTTTATTTCAGAGAGGAAGGGAGAGGAAGAGAGAGATAGAAACATCAGTGATGAGAGGGAATCATTGATTGGCTGCCTCCTGCACATTGGACCAAGACCGTAACCCAGGCATGTGCCCTTGACTGGAATCTAACCTGGGACCCTTCAGTTTATAGGCCGATGCTCTATCAACTGAGCAAAACCAGCTAGGGCTAATTCACTAACTTTTAATCAGCCTGGATTTACCAATCACATTAAGTGTCAGAGTGTAAAATTATCACCTTTATTAACGTAGCTATAATGAATTAATACTGATGCTTAGTACTGATCCAGATTTGAATCCTATGAAATTTAGCACTGGATTTATTTATTAGTGTTTATGTTTCTTATTTTTCGTGTCCTTTGCAACTGTTGAATCAACTAGATAAGTTTCTGAGCCATTGTCTTTTCCTGTTGTGGAATCTTGGGAGTTGGACTATACAGTTGTTACATAGTCTCCCTTTCATGACATGCTTTTTATGTTAAGCAAAAATATTCTGGGAATTGTTTGGACTCAGTGTAGAAGGTATTTTCATTTCCATATGGAGATAGATGGATATCAAAATAAATATAATAAACATTTATAGAGGTTATACTACATATAATTCACTGAGTAGTAGGAGCGCTAACGGTGAGTAATTGATCTGACTTTTAAATTTTGTTTGATTTTATCAACTAAGATATTTCAGCCTTAAATAACAGAATTTATGAGTAAAAGTGGTTTAAAAATAAATTCAATATTTTACATAAGATGAAATCAGGGAGTAGAATATTATAGGGATAGTTATTCAGTTTTTCAACGAAGTTTTCAGAGATTCATTTAGCTCAGTGCTTCTCAGCTTCCCAGCTTATATGTGCGCTAACACCCACGAAATCCCTACTGAAATTCTCATGTAATACCATCTCATAGCTCTGCTTGGGGCTGGTTGAGTAGTACCCTTTTATTGTGCTTCTCTTTTTCCTTAAGTTAAACCTTTCTCAGTGGTCCCACAACATATTTCCCATTGCATATCATTGGTCAAAATTGCATCCCATACTTACAGCTAAAGCAATGTTTGATAAAGATAATCGGACACCCACAAAAATTGGGACTTTTAGTAAGGCAGAAAGGAGATCATTGCTGTTGGGAAGGCAATGAACAATGTCCTCTGTGATATCACAGTATGTCAGTGGATACTGATAGTTATGGCTGGTGTCTAGTTTGAAAGCTGGTGATACCAGATTTCTACTCTAGCATTTTCTCTATTATGATTTTTTTTGGCTTAATGCCCTATCATTTGTTAGTCCAATAAGAAATATTGTCATCATGTGTAAAAATGGATCAGTATAATCAAAGTTCTTCTAGGTTTGACCTATATGGAGAAAATAATGATTATGTATTTGAAAGATACTTCACATGAAAATCTTGTGTTAAGGAAACCTAACTTAAATTAACATGTGGCCTTTTAAGTCTAGGACTGTAGTTAATTTACACTAAAGTGCAAATTGTTATTTAGCTTACTTTAATTGAAATTTATCATGAAGAAAGGTAAGAATGCTCTTTTCTCTGGTTTTCCAGTTTAATATTTTCATTATCAAATATATTTTTTATTTCAAATTTTGAAATACAAGCTTTTGGAATAATTTTTATATTTCTATGTATATCTTTTATGTTGTAGTCACTAAAACACTGTTCAGAATACTTTTACTTTTTTATTTTTATTATTTATTTATTTTTTTAAAATATATTTTACTGATTTTTTACAGAGAAGAAGGGAGAGGGATAGAAAGTCAGAAACATCGATGAGAGAGATCGATCAGCTGCCTCCTGCACGCCCCACAGTGGGGACGTGCCTGCAACCAAGGTACATGCCCTTGACCGGAATCGAACCCGGGACCCTTGAATCCGCAGGCCGACGCTCTATCCACTGAGCCAAACCGGTTCAGCGAGAATACTTTTATTGACCTCAGACTTGAGCCCAGAGTGTTTTGCCACGAGTGTTCTCCTTTTCCCAACAGAGACATTTTCCATCCCCCTAAACAACCTTCTTTGGATCACACCCATAGTCTGGTCCATCTCATAGGGCCCAGCAGAACCATATTCTTCACTTGTGGGGATTAAACTCTGTATTTAATTATTTAGTTTGTTCTTATCTTAAATAACTTCGCTACATCTGTTGACTACGATTGTCTTTATTGAAGAAATGTGGGGCCACAGAACACTGATGAGAAACCTTGGAGTTTTGGCATCTTTCTTAGTTCCTCTCAGGTCATACTCACTAGCAGCTTTCTACCCTGCTGAGGAAGGCCAGTTCTCTTATTTTTTTACTAACAATCCCCTCCCAGGTTACCTTTATTGGTAAACCTTACCGCTTATTGACAAAACAAGAAAGAATAAACTCTTCTCTTCTTCCAAAAAAAGGAAAGGAATGTTTTTGAAAATGCGAATTAACAGATGATCAGATGGGCTATAAAAATTATTCTCTGGTTACTGCTGCCAAATTTTAGAGTCAAGTGTCTTAGCTCCACATAGAGTGAGTAGTGCCCCCCTTATCCACCGGAGATAGGTCCAAGACTCCCAGTGGGTGCCTGAGACCATGGATGCCTGAACATTCTGTATACTAAATACTATGTTTTTTCCTTTACATACATACTTATGATAAAATTTAACATATGGTTTAGGTATAGTAAGAGATTGACAGCAATAACTACTAATAAAAAAAGAACAGTTTTAATATATTGTAATAAAATTATATAAATATGTCCTCTCTGACCAAACTAGCACGGATTTATTCCTTCTTAACAATTTCATGGATAGATTCACTTTTACAGGAGATCTAAGTAGCCTCAGTATACGGTATTTTTCTTTCTTTATAAAGTTGAGAACACTTACTTTTTCACTTAAAGGAAGCACTTTACAGCTTCTCTTTGGCATATTTAAATTGTCAGCATCAGTACTCTTGTGCTTTGGGGACATTATAAGGTAAAATAAGGGTGACATAAGCACTGTGATACTGTGACAGCTGATCTGGTGACCCAGATGCATACCACCTGACTAAAGGGTGGGTGGTAAACACAACATGGAGACACTGGACAAAGGCGTTACTCACATCTGGGGCAGGATTGAGTGAGATTTTGTTATACTACTGAGAATAGTGCACAATTTACAACTTACGAATTATTCTGGAATTTTCCTTTTAATATTTTTGGACTGCACTAGACCATGGGTAACTGAAACTGTGGAAAGTGAAATGGAGGGTAAGGGGGTGCTTACTGTAACACTATATTTCCGTAGCTCTCACACTATATGCATTTGCAGGCTAGGCCCAGATCATTTTGAGTTGCTAACCTGGATGTGTGCCATTAAATCATACTATGATCTTCCTTTTATGGAAGATCTCCCTGTATGTGTAGAGAGCTCCCTGTATATTGAAAATGACAGAGTTGCTTGTTTATCAGTAGTATTTTATGTCTTTGAATCATCATCTCAGACCAATCCCAATTCCTTTTTGCTATGAATAATTCTCCCCCACTGCCTCCACCTTGTTCTAGGAGATCAAAGGCACTACATAAACTGATAGAGTCTGCTGCTGCTGACTCTACCTTTTATTTTATTTTTTTTTTTTTTAAAATATATTTTATTGATTTTTACAGAGAGGAAGGGAGAGAGATAGAGAGTTAGAAACATCGATGGGAGAGAAACATCGATCAGCTGCCTCCTGCACATCTCCCACTGGGGATGTGCCCGCAACCCAGGTACATGCCCCTGACCGGAATCGAACCCGGGACCCCTGAGTCCGCAGGCCGACGCTCTATCCACTGAGCCAAACCGGTTTCGGCCTGACTCTACCTTTTAGCTTCAGTATGCATTCTGGCTATATTCACTGTTTCTGCTGTTTTTCCTCTCTGGGCTGGATTTTATCTCAAATCTATTCCAACTACCATCACTATTTTATGTTGTTTATCACTATAATTGCATTTTCTGCCTTATTATAATTTGTCTGTTCTGGGAAAAGTATTTCCCCAACCATCTGCTGCTTGATCTGCTTGAATTGTTGCTCTTGTGTTATTTCTTGTTCAGAAATTAAGTCCTTCACCCTGGCATTCATGCCCTCCACAATGTGGTCTTTGTACTCCTTAGTCTTTTCTTCCACTACCTCTCCTTTCTTATCTTATGCATGATTCAAGTTGTACTTCTTCTTCCAAATGAACACTGTACTTTCCTATATCCTTTCCCTATATTTCTTTGTCTTTCTGATAGAATATGCCCTTTACTTCCAAATAAATACAGCCTATTTAAAATCCAGTCTTCAAGGTCATCTCATGTATTACCTCCTCCCTTGGGCTTTTGCTTGAAACTCTTTTGCCATCTTTTACATAAATAGTTTGTCTACTTCTCAATTTTTCTTTTACTGCATGCTATGATATTTAATAACTCAGGGATGGTATCTTAGTCACATTAGTCAGTATTTTTAGTGTATAATATTTTTCTGACCTCTGACTAGCCTTTACGGAGTCTTTCAGCTTCTGAGATCATTGTGATACAACACTTCTCATTCATCTTTTAATATTTAGGTTGAGCTCTTCCGATTCAAAGCAATATTTTGTTTGTTGTGTCTATATTTCAGTATCATTGCCCATCAGTAACATTTAAAAAAGTTTTCAAGTATTTCAGCAATTGATGTACTATGGTTTAGCTCTAGTTATATATTTTATCTGTATATCCTCTTATTTATATTTCTCTTCTTTAAAACTAGGCCTGTGACATCTGTGACTATAATCCAATTCTGATGCTCATGCTTTGTGTCTACATGTATGAAAGACTCCCTACATATCTCCCCAAGATGTTGGTGACCTTTCAGTGTACTTTACATGACACTGTGAAGAAAAAGGTAAGGATATACTTAGGGCCAAAGAATATATAGAGTTAAACACTTAAGAGGGGTTTTAGATATTTTTGTCAACCACAAATTAACAGAATTATCAATATGATACAATAAGCCTTAGCAAATGTTACTCCTTCAAAACCAAAAGTATAGCAGAATATAAGGGACAGGTTTTGCTTAATAATAATCATCACCTGCAAAGAGATGATGACTCTTTCATGCAGTTGAGGAATGGGGGTTGGGGACATGGAAAATGAAAGTTATATACTTTGAAGGTCAAATCCTATTAGGAAACTTTAAATTCATTTCATATACAAAAGGACTGATACACTAAATAGAAACTTGTGATCTGAATGTGCTTCACTTTCCTTTAGGGGGAGCAGTTTACACATCCAGATGGATTTTTTTTTCTTTATTGATTAAGGTATTACATATGTGTCCTTATCCCTCCATTGCCCCCCACCCCCCTGTCATGCCCTCACCCCCCTGGTGTCTGTGTCCATTGGTTAGGCTTAGATGCATGCATACAAGTCCTTTGGTTGATCTCTCCCCCTTACCCCCACCCTTCCCTACTTCCCTCTGAGGTTCAATGGGCTGATCAATGTTTCTCTGCCTCTGGATCTGTTTTTGTTCATCAGTTTATGTTGTTCATTATATCCCACAAATGAGTGAGATCATGTGATATTTATCTTTCTCTGACTGACTTATTTCACTTAGCATAATGCTCTCCAGTTCCATCCATGCTGTTGCAAATGGTAAGAATTCCTACTTTTTACCACAGAGTGGTATTCCATTGTGTAGATGTACCTCAGTTGTTTAATCCACTCATCTGCTGATGGGCACTTAGGCTGTTTCCAAATCTTAGCTATGGTAAATTGTGCAACTATGAACATATGGGTGCATATATCCTTTCTGATTGGTGTTTCTAGTTTCTTGGGATATATTCCTAGAAGTGGGATCACTAGGTCAAATGGGAGTTCCATTTTTAACTTTTTGAGGAAACTCCATCCTGTTCTCCACAGTGGCTGCAGCAGTCTGCATTCCCACCAGCAGTGCACGAGGGTTCCTTTTTATCTGCCTCCTCTCCAGCATTTGTCCTTTGTTGATTTGTTGATGATAGCCATTCTCACAGGTGTGAGATGATACCTCATTGTTGTTTTGATTTTCATCTCTTGGATGATTAGTGACTTTGAGCATGTTTTCACTTGTCTCTTAGCTTTCTGAATGTCCTCTTTTGAAAAGTGTCTATTTAGGTCCTTTGCCCATTTTTTGATTGGGTTGTTTATCTTCCTTTTTTTAAGTTGTATGAGTTCCCTTTAAATGTTTGAGATTAAACCCTTATCAGTGATAACATTGGAAAATATGTTCTCCCATGCAGTGAGCTTTCTTGTTGTTTTGTTGATGGTTCTTTTGTTGTACAGAAGCTTTATATTTTGATGTAATTCCATTTGTTTATTTTCTCTTTAGTCTCCATTGCCTTAGAAGCTGTATCAGTAAAGATATTGCTTCAACATATGTCTGAGATTTTGCTGCCTGTGGATTCCTCTAATATTTTTATGGTTCCCTATCTTATGTTTGTCTTTTATCCATTTTGAGTTTACTTGTTTTTTTATATATATTTATTGATTTCAGAGAGGGAGGGTGAGGGAGAAAGAGATAGAAACATTAATGATGAGAGAGAATCATTGATCGGCTGCCTCCTGCATGCCCCCCACTGGGGATCGAGCCCACAACCCAGGCATGGGCCTTGGCTGGAATCGAATCTGGGACCCTTCAGTCTGCAGGCTGACGCTCTATTCACTGAGCCAAACTGGTTAGGGCTCTGCTCTGATCTCTATTATCTCCTTCCTTCTGCTCACTCTGGGCTTTTCTTGTTGTTCTCTTTCTAATTCTTTAAGTTGTAGAGTTACATGATTTATTACCATTTTTTCTTGTTTTGTTTTCTTGATGTAGGCCTGTAGAGCTATAAACTTCCCTCTCAGGACTGCTTTCACTGTGTCCCATAGGTTTTGGATTGTTAGGTTTTCATTGTCATTGGTTTTCCAGGGTGTTTTTAATATCTTCTTTACCAGATGGATTTTTTGTTGTTTAATTGAGGATATAGAAAGGGAAGTAATAATGGATGTGCTCTTGACCTGGGTTACCTAATTCTCTCTAAATGATATTATGTAATCTGGATGCACTAAATGTGTTAACAGTGAATTTTTCAAATTTAAGAAAAACAATGGAAACAAAATTTCCAGTCCTATGATAACAAATCTATATAAATAGGTCCATATTTTACAGTTGTTCTCTTTGAGAAATATCTTGTCAGGTGTTATTGACCTCAATTTCAGATAATTTGTTTCACATGAACACTTGTAAAGTATCTTCTATCATGCAGTTTTAAATCGTTTGCATTCATGTAAGATTGTTTTTATAAAACCTGTAACCAGATTTATAGGTGGGTCCTTGGTTTTTTTCTCAGGACACTATAGGCTGATAAAATCTTATTTTGTAAAAAAGTTATTTTAGTGCTTTGGTCAGATCACATCTATTTCTTTTCCTCATCTATTTTATTTATTCCTCCCCATATTTGTGGGTGTGGGGTCAATTTTACACTTTTGATGCAAAACTCATCCATATTTGGTCTTCACAGTATATGTCCTAGTGATGTTTAATTTGTAGTTGTAACCTCTTTGAAAAAATATCTGTGACACTATGAGCAATGATTGGTAAGATTCAGTTTAAAAAATCGGGAAAAACTCAGGTTCTTGTCTCAAATTGTAAAGGGCTCAATTTATGGAAAGGAGAGTCATTCCTTTTGATTTTATTTTGTTAGAAAATATTAAGATACAATCCCTTTTATGTAATTTTATTTTTTTCTCTTTTTGTCAGAAAAAGAGAAATAAAATACTTTAGAGAATTTTTCAACAGTATTTACTCTGATAATTCCCTAACTGCATTGATATTTAAGGGATTTGGGTACTAGCTAGCCTAGAACTATAATTATATTGGGGAGGACTTCTGACTTCAAACTAAAAATTCTCAAGAATTAGAAATATTATTGCTTAAGCCTGCAGAAGATAGAAGGAGTCTGAATTAGATTAAGCAGTGATTTATTACAGTTTGGTATGATTAATAATTTTTAAACTCTGACCAGGTTTGTATTTCCTTATGGCATTTAATTGTTATTTTAAAAAATTAGTTAATGACACTAGCTCATATTTAAACAAATTTTAATCATTATGTTAAAAATCAAATTAAAGCATATTAAAATGGAAACATTTTAATGTTTTAATGATTTCTTTCCAATTTAATTATTTATTAGAAATATTGTTCACACCTGAAGATTATAGATGATATTGTACACGTAGGGCTTTTGTTTTTCAAAAATGTAAGAGACATTTTTTGAAGGAAACAACAAAAATTAAATATAAATGATAAATTAAACATCAATCACAGCAAGCTTTTATTTTAAATTTCATTTAAGAGAAATGATTAATTTGGAAGTTGCTGGGAAACTTAGACACAGTTTGCCCCCTACATCAACCCATATTCCTTACGATTCACTATAACCACACATAGTGCTAATTATTAACTCTTCACATCCATTCACAACCTTTTCAATCTTCCAGAATAAAGAAAAATCTCAGGAAATGGCTACTATAATTAAAAAGATATTTCTGTAGCTATACGTCTCAAATGGAAACATAGAATATTGGAACCATTAAACTATATGGTTATCAATGAAAAAATGTAGGTTGCAGTGATTTTTCTGAGACAATTTTAAAGCTATTGACCTTCCCTCCCCTTTTAAATATATTCTTATTGATTACAGAGAGGAAGGGAGAGGGAGAGAAAGAAACATCAATGATGAGAGACAATCATTAATCAGCTTCCTCCTGCACATCCACCACTGGGGATCTAGCCTACAACCTGGGCATGTGCCCTGATCAAGAATCAAACTGTGATCTCCTGGTTCATAGGTTGACACAAAACCACTGAACAACACTGGTGGGGTTCCCCCCTCCCCCCCCACACACACTTTTTTAAAAACAAACTTTACACAGAGCTCAATAGATAAAGACTGTCATTACAAAACAGGAATCCAGGTTCCAAAGCTGTTTTTCCTTCCCTCAACAGCTTTCCTCTTTCCCCATGAATCAATTACCACCCCTACATAAAATCCTAGTTAGGTGGAATACCCTGACCATAGATGAGCCCAATGGGCTTTGTATTATACATATGATATGACAATAAGAATGAATGTCTTCCTTAAGATCTCAGGGATAGTTATAGAAGTTCTAGGACTATAAACCAATAACATTAGGTAATGAATTTATTATTACTTTTAACTATTCCTTCCAGAGAATGGAAATGAACTCTCTGGGACTTAAAATCACTTGGTCTGTTAATTAATTCTTTAGGTACTGATATCTATAAGTAGGCAAGCTACATGAGATCCCAAAATCCTTGGGATAACTGACTGTAGAAACTTTTCAGCAGCAATATACTCGTCCTGGTAGTTACCAAAGTTTTCGCTACAATATAAAAGTAGTTTATTTAACCTTTTAACAAATCTCTACCATATTCCTTATGATTCACTATAACCACATATAGTGTTAATTATTAACTCTTCAAATATCTCTGTCTGTGGTTTCTGGACCACCTAAGTGCAGTTACCTTTTCTTTACTGTAATTTGGCCAATCCCACATTTGCCCCAGGTCTTATTCCTCTTTTGGCTCAGTACTTTCCATGATAACCTTGTGTCTTCCTAACGTGTTGTTTGTTTTTTTTAAATCTCTATTATATTCTACATAAACACTTGTGTAGTCAAGTTTTCATGAAATACTCTCTAAAAATAAAGTAGCTTATTCTCTAATACTTTCCATCTCTAAGCCTCAGGAAGGAAGGAACAGTCAAACCCTAGCTATACTATTGCTTCTCGATGAGGCTACTATCATTTCCAGCCTGGACCTCTGATTTTAAACCTAGAATCTTTATAACTTCCCACGCTGAGCAGCTGGAGTATCCTTTTTCTGTAAATTTGATTATTTAAGTTCTATGTTTAAAATTCTCTGAAGATTTCCCTTTGTAATAAGAATAAAATCCAAGTTGCTCACTGTGGACTTCAAATCTTCATGTCATTTCCTTGCTTGAGAGATCCTTTTCCCTGCCTACTCTTGCTAAACTGTATATATGCGATCTTCAAATACAAAGTCTGCTTTCCCTCAGTTAGTGCACATAAGGAACAAATATTTTCATGATTAAAATGTAAAACTCTTCGATTAAAATAAGAAATGTTAAGCCCTGATCAGTTTGGCTCAGTGGATAGAGCATCAGGCCATGAACTGAAAGGTGCTGGGTTAGATTCCAGTCGAGGGCATATACCTTGGTTGCAGGTTCAGTCCCCAGTAGGGGGCGTGCAGGAGGCAGCTAATCGACATTTCTCTCTCATTGATGTTTCTAACTCTCTATCCCTCTCCCTTCCTCTCTGTAAAAAAATCAATAAAAATATATTTAAAAAAAATAAGAAATGTTAAGTTGTATATTTTTAAAAATTCATGATCTTATTTTTACTCTCTTGTTCTGCAATGTAGGTTCTAGTGAAAAATTCAAGCTCGAAAAGAATAGTGTATAATGCTACAATCATTGGAAGAGATGCCGCTGACTTCACCCTCTTCCCCACAGAGAGTACTGTGACAGTTCCTCCAAAGTAAGTGTTTTGTTTTTTTAAATTTTACTTCATTAAATGTATCAGCCCTAGAAATTTAATGTGCGCTATAATTATTAAAAAGTGACCTGGATTTGTTTTTAGTGGATATATACAAATGAAAAGACCATCACTCACACATAGATGAATAATTCATATGTTGCTGAGATTCCGCATCAATTTTGTTTAAACATTCTAACAGTATAAAGCAGCTGCATTTTATGTATACATTTAATTTCACTTTATTTTTTCATGTACATTGGCCATAGAGATTAGACAACAAATTGTTTATGTAGTACTGTTGTTTTCTGCCAAAAACTCAAAGCAGTGTGTGAAGTCTCTGATTATAAAAGCAATATGTGCTCATTGTAGAAAATTTAGAAACTATGCAAGTATAAAGAAAAAAAGTAGAAGACTAATAATCATACATGAAAGATACCCCAATGTTGCCATTTTTCTCTATCCCTAGTCATTGTAACTTAAAGATAGATAGACAGATGATAGATAGTCTCATATACTTATAAGAACACTTTCTTTTTCTTAGAATATCTCTATTTCATAGCATCATGTTCTTAATTTGGGGTCACAATAGTTTCATAAATGTCTCTGACTTACTTTTTCATCTATTCCCTGTATATTTATTTTCTTGAGGTCAGTTGGTATGTTGTTTCTCTTGGTCTCGGTGTTTCACATTGAAGGATTTACTCTAATGACTTGTGATACTTGATGATCCATTCACATGTAATAATATGGCAATAGAAAAGTAAATTGTGAGTTTGTATATGCACAGGCTTGTTAATTGGCAGATTTCTCTTCAGGGTGAAAGCATTCTGCTTTTTTAAAAAAAATATATTTTATTGATTTTTTACAGAGAGGAAGGGAGAGGGATAGAGAGTTAGAAACATCAGTGAGAGAGAAATATTGATTCAGCTGCCTCCTGCACACCCCGTACTAGGGATGTGCCCACAACCAAGGTACATGCCCTTGACTGGAATCAAACCTGGGACCCTTCAGTCCGCAGGCCGGCGCTCTATCCATTGATCCAAACCAGTTAGGGCAACATTCTGCTTTTATGCCCAGTTGCCTGGCATTCTACAATGGCCTTGGGAAGGGCTGTCTGAACCGCATTTTGCCTTCTCTGAAACTAGGCAATAGGGCAGTTTTGTTTTCCTCTATTAGCCTCTGTGGAGATGCTCATCAACAGCTCTCTCTAATTAACAGCTTAAAAAAATCCCTTTATTGTAATTTTGATAAGATTTTTCTTCTAGGCAATGAATTTCAGTTTCAGATGCCATTGTGGCCTAGAACGCTTCTATCATGTCATTTAACAATTAAATGCTGGGCTTTGATACTGACATGTACAGGCTCTATGATTCAGCTTCATTTTGTTACTTGGAAAATGTGGATCAGGGTATTTATTCCCAGTGTTGTCAGTAATAAATGTACTTCTATAGGAAAAACACCTAGTACTGTAACTGGAACTTACAGGAAGCAATCAATAAGCATCCCCCTCCGCCATTCAAAGTACTGGTGATTCATAGATGAAAACAACACTCTTCCCAGTGTTTACAGTCTAGCACAGTGCCATTGAAGCAAATATACTATAAGGATATAATTTGAATAATTGTTTTATTTGTGATGTGTGTATAGAAACAGAGGAAAATGGAAAAAAGAAGTCACCTAAGTGTTCTTGGGGAAACCACAAGAACCTCAGAAGATGTAATGCGTAATTCTCCATGTGTATGGAAAACAATTACTCACTTTTCTGGATACATTTTATTTTGTAGGCTTGAATACTATTATTAGGTGGTTCTTTAAGTATCTCTTTAGTGAGACTAAATAATGTCATGGTCTTTGGTTTTTACTAATAGGATTTTAATGAAACAAAATAGCTTTTGTTTTATTAAGCAAGCAAACAAACAAACAAACAAAAAAACCTCACCTGTGGCTTTATCATTATCAGGTATTGTATAAGTATCTATGTATACCACATCCTGATTTAGATTCTATCTCAATCACGATTAGTAATAGCTATTTCCACCAGCTGTGGATTTAAATTCCCAGAGATATAATTTATATAGGAAGATTAAACAGCTATGCCAGCATATAAACAAACATGTTTATTTCTGCATCTAACTTCATGTCTAAATTTAGGTATAACCATACAGTGTTGTAAAAGTGAAAGTATATTTTTAGAAACCATTCTGTTTCTTTTTCCTTCATGATTCTCATTGAGCCAAATGGGCACTGACATTGATATGTTATATATTTCTTCTCCGTCTTTTCCGAAAGCCAAGTTGCAGTAGCTTATGAGGTTCATGTAATATGAAGGAGTATAAAACCTATACTTGCGATATACATGCCTCCGGATCTAATACATGACCGGAGGTAGACTACCCATTTGATTCTGAACTTTCTAACACATTCAGGAAGGAATCCTGGTAATTTATATACATCAATATAACTACAAAACTTTTTCTTCTTTACTTTTATTGTTGATACTATATGGATGTCCCTATTTCCGCCTGCATTTGCCCACCTCCAACCAGACCCCACACCCTCCATCACCACACTGTTGTCTGTTTCTATGGGTTATGCATATATGTTCTTTGGCTAATCCCTTTACCTTCTTTCATCTTTTTATAAAAGAAATACCTATACTCAAGAGAAGCTCAGCTCTTCATGGTCCTAAAACCAGCAATTACCTCATGGAAAGGATACTGTATTTTAAAATGTGTTACATAGAACTTAAGTATAGGTCCATAAATCCATTTACTAAGCACATGCTCTTTAGAACGTGGTCATTCTTGAACATCTTTTTGTTTCTTTTTTTTTAACACTTATAATCATTTTTATTTTATTTTTTAATTTAAATTCTTTATTGTTTAAAGTATTACATATGTCTCCTTTTTCCCCCATTGACCTTTCCCTTGAACACCTTTTTCCATCAACTTCCATGGAGATCCAATCCATGACTTTGTGCTTTTGATTTTACCAAATGTATCTTATATTTGTCATCTTTTCCTCTTACCTACCTCTTCCATTCTAATTTAATGTACCATTATCTTTAACTTGGGTTGCTACAAGGGACTCCTAAAAGATTTTTTTTTTCAATCTATTCCCAACATCAGATTGGCAAGGATTGTTTAAAATGCAAATTTGGTCATGTTACTCTTCTACTTAAAATATTCCTGTAACTTCACATCCCTATTATGATATAAACTGAACATCTCAGCATGGTCCACATAGCTTCATGGCAGGCTCCTGGCTATATTTTGTAACACAAAAACTTTTGCTTTCTAAGATTCAGTACCACTGGCCTTTGGTAAGTTCTTAAAACACATAATTCCTTCTTGGGTGCCTTCTTTCCACACCTGCTCACTCTAGCGACTCATTTTCAGCCTTTATATCCCACTTAATATAGATAACCTTTTAGATGGTATCACACTCCCTATTATGTGATCTCATACCACTTCACAGCGCACACAGAACTTGTAGTTTTCACATTTATTTTGTGACGACATATTGTTTGTCATGTCTTATAAAATGTAAGATCCAGGAGATCAGCAATAGTGTATTTTTCTAATTAGTGTATCCCCAAAACTTAAAACAGTGCTTGGAATATTATAAATTTCTATAGATATCAATTGAATTAATGAGTGGTTTTATCTAACAATGAATTTTAGAATACCTAGAAAAATGCTAAATCACTCACAGTTACCTAACATGGACTTTGAGCCTATTATATCCAGAAAAAGACCACAAGGTCAAATATTCTTTGTTCTCAATTAAATTCAAGTCCAAGATCTTTTAATAATATTTAAGAAAATGTGATTTTGCACAAATTGAGGAGATTAGTGATGACATATCTGGAAAAATCATTCCCGCTCTTGCTAGATGTGAGCTATAATTTTCCCTGTAAAGCAATTCTGAGAATATTTCTGTTGATTTGAAAGTCCTGCATTCACTTTACTCTGCTGCTCCCTAAACTCACCCATTTAACAGTAATTTCACAACTGTTCTAGGGAAATTAAGCCAAAGTTTGACACCCAGAGAATCATTCCCATCTTCATCCCCAAATATGTGTATCCTAAGGGAAGGTGAAAGTTTCATACAAAGAATAATTGTGATATGATGTATAATGCTAAATATGTTAAAAGCCAGAGTAAAAGAAAAGGTAAAATTTCCCCAAGTTTATCAGCCACAGGTGTGGCCAGTCAAGGGAAGGCTGAAATATTCAGCCAGTAAAGAAACAATGAAAATCATTTTTTACTAGGAGAGTTCTTTGTTTACATAAACAGTGAAAGCAAAAATAATCAAATGGGGCTAGATCTCCATGTCCCTTGTGCAGCACAACACCAAAACCAAAGGGTCCACCATTGTAGACATGGTGGCAGGTAGGCCTGGATGAGGGTGAGTGTGTGAGAAGGAGAGTATGTGTGGGTGTGAGAGTGGGAGAGCATCTGTTTGTGGGAGCAGGAGCTTAGGGAGGCAACTGGGGTGCTCCGGGCAGAGGATCTGCCACTGCAGTGTGTTGCTCTGCTGGGCACTTCTCTCCACTTCAGTGGAGGCCATTGTGAGGGAGCCACAAGGTCCCCATGACAGGAAACTTTGGAAAACGACCCTGCCCCAGGGCCCCTAGGACACTGACAGGTGCTCAAAACCCCACTGCTGAGATCCAAAGTCCCCATGCACTCAGATGAGTCATGCAGACTCAGTTAGTCTGAACTGTGTGCCGTGGAGGATTGGCTGGCTGAGGCAACCTCCTCAGGGCCTGCCCCGCCATACTGGTGAACTGGGCACCCAGCTCGTCCCAGTCCCAGCAGTGGAGTGCCCAGTGGAGCTAGCAAACAATCAGCCCCACATCCTCCAAAGGGGAGAGCTAGGATGCCCCACATCATCAGCATCCAGTGCTCAGTCTGACACAACCCTTCTGTGAGCAGAGCCACAAGCCTGCCCTGCCATAGAGGCAGAAAAAGCATTCAACAAAATCTAATACCCAT